AATATATATTTTTTTTCTTCAGTCAATAATCAGAGAATAAATATATGCAAGAGTCACCAACACATCTGGAATGATCTCGATTTAAGAATGAAATGTTGCATATTCATCATATCTAAGGAGCATAATCATTTATACCTACTCATAGACAGTACATCGCAATTAAAAACAAACATTCAGAACGAAATATACATGTATGGGATTAGCGTTTAAAATAAATATCTATAATGCCATCTTTCTAAGTATTAAACCAAGAACTTTTAGATTAATGCAGCCATTAAATATAAATGAGAATTTATTGGAATCTAATGTTAAAATAATAGCATACCATGAGAAATCTCGGGAAATCAGACATTACTACAATCATTTTGATCCCAAAATCTGTCTTTATTGATTGAGAACATAAACGTTCATTTGTGCTCAGACCTTGGACATATAAAGTAATAATTCTATGTTACAGATTAGTATTTGTGATACATTGACCCGGTATTGGTCAGCTAGTATTAGCTCAGCCGATAAGCCTCACCTAAATTCAACTAGTAACTTCACTTTAGTATCATTAGTAAAAGGATTTAGAAACCGAGAGCTGCGTTGTTTAATCTCTCAACCCATGCTATCCAGCAGCTTTATTATAGCAGAAAATACATTTACCCTGAGATATACGTATGCTTTCTGTAATCAAAGAACTCAGATTAAAAGTCAGATTTTAACTCAGGTCTTAAAAGTCGGCGACTTTTTATTTTGTTTTCTCTTCCTTGAATCTGGTTGTAACATATTTTGTGGCATGGCTATATTTTCCTAATAATGTCTTTTTTCAGATTTTTACCACAAGTCCAATATATGGATATCTTTAATTATTAATGGATTTAAACATATCATATTTAAGAATATATAAAAAAAATCTTTTCTTGGAAGGAAAACCAGATGTTATAATACTGTTCAAGTTTGAAATGTATTTAGCTGAATTGCTTATGACAAAAACAGCTTTCAATGCACGATTATCTTTTTCTAAGAACCTCCAAATACAGAGCTGTGTTTTTGTATGGATTGTAATGTATATTGAAAAACAAGAATATTTGATAGAAATGCAGGAAAAGAATGGGCAATGTAAGGTTCCATGACAATGAAAAGAAGGAAATAAAACAACAGAAAAAAGACAAACATGCACATGTACCGTAGAATAAGTATTGTATTTTATGGTAAGTGGAGACAATATGCTTACGATATAAAGCGGTGCGAATAGATTGAGACGCACTCAGACAGTGCTGAAACCGAAAGTGTTGAATATTTTTAAATAATAAATAAAAAAATAAAGGCGTATGGCGTGTGTTTAAGCGTGAATCAGAAATATGAAATAAAGAAATGCAAAATGTTGAAAGAATAAAGAAAGAACAAAAAAGCAGAACTTTGTACCAATTAAGTCATATACAATTATTTAAAATTTAAAATGCATGTATCTTTAGCAATGCACATGTATTATTTTATCTGCTGGAACCACGTTTTAGTTTCGAACATTCATAAACAGTTTTTTATCTTTAAACGTACCCACAAAACCCTTCCCAGCAGAATCATACATTATTGTTCTGCCATTAAGCTTAAGTAATTTGGACAAAATGAAACACGCCGAGAAAGATGAATTCGTTTATTTCATATATACGACCTTATGGTGCACGTTTTGTAACATATGTGAATATATACTGTAAATGTTTCACCGCCGCTCCTATTACATCGTCTAACACCTGGCTTGTATATCTTAACATAGCTTCTGCATTTAGTGCACCTGCTACATGTTAAGATTCTGCAGCAGTTTAGAAAGTATGATTGCACAATTAATCACATTTGCCTCTTCTTCACTTAAAATATATCAAAGAGGATTTATGTTTAAAACACGTAGTAGAGTGTCTGCTTAACAATTGATGCTGTATATAAAGTTTTATAGTTGCGTAAATTATTAACGCAAAATAAATAAGATTAACGATTTATCATGCAGTTGCACCAATTGTTTTCTTTTTTAAAAAATGCTTTGAGAAGGAAAAATCTATTCAACAAATGCGGTTCAAGAAAGAATTTTGTGCATTTAGATTCTACTTTATTTGAGTGTTGTAATATTTTCCTGGTTCTACGGAATCATGAATTCAATTCTTTATAATGTTGAGGATTGAATACCGCAAAAGCCGGTGCTAGCGGGCGAGAGAAATGTTGAATTTACCATTATCTCGCACACTCAATAAGCCAAGTGTGCAATGTTAACAAAGTTTGGTTTTCATAATTCTCGACCAATCTTCTCTTTTCAGAAATTCAAAGTTCTCGTAATCATATAATACAGGAAGGTATTTTAAAACTAATGTGCATTATGTTATTTGGATTGTTGTGGATACACATAATAAAGGGACGCTTTAAGCTACGGCGTAAAATTACATCATTCCTTAAATTACAAGCAAGTAGAAAAAAAAGAATTCTTAAGTTTTTCAATTTGTTGACATCTTTCATATTTTTTTTTTGCTACCTAATCAATTTGATCTAGTGTCATTAATGTTAAGCAAAATAAGAACTTTCATATATGTTCAATACACGCTGAGCAATAATCTACAATTTTTTTAATGGCAAGCAAAAGTTTTTCCCCAAGTGTACTGTATGTGACAGGCTGAATTTTGTAAAGTTATAAATGTGAAATACAACCTGGGAAACGAACTAATACCCGTTTAATATGTAATTACGGTGTTACAGTCAATTACCTATTTAACGATAGCATTTTCAATTGCGTGCTTTCTAGCATGTAGTCGTCTACGGCTATTTCTGTGGTTCTAATGTTGACTATCAACGATGATTGATAAAGAAAGTTTTATTGAGAAATTGATTATCAGAGTACAGAAAATATTCAGTAATGGTAAATATATATAATTATATTTAATGAATGTTCAAAAAGATAAGTTCGAAATACTTGAACTACGTTGAGATTGCAATTCCGTGCAAAAAGTCAATTATAGATTTCGGCAAGTTCAGCCGTTTACTATTTTTAATAAGCGTCCTTGCCCTCTTGCATTGTATAAGTCATTGAGTTCATATGCAAATGTCCAAAGTTTCCTTTATTGGTTTGTAGACTTAACTGTAAATTATACATGTATTCCAGTTTAAAACAGTTTTTCCCCATTTGCAGACATGTCGGTTAAAAAAAAATACAACAAGTGCAAGACAATATTTAATATTTAACTTTTAATAAAAAAAAGTTTTAAAAACTTAATGTTCGATTTTATGTCAGAGACAACAGGAAAAGCCCATTGGTTTTTTAAAATCGATTATTGTCTAGAAACTTAAGCTAACAATGAAATTTATGAGTTAATAACGCAATAGAATGTAAAAGTACAGTCATTATACTTCAGTGATGTAAGAATTATGCACTTACAGACTATTAGCTTGAGTATTGGATACTTGTTCTGCATTTGTTTGAGTGAAAGACCCCCCATACAGGAATTTCTACAAAAAAATTCCTTTTAACTTAAAATAAATAAGAAAAAATTCTTTGCAGTTGATATAGGCAAAATGTTCGCCAGAATTGTAGCGTATGCATGAGCTACATATCACCATAGTTTTAATGGGTTTTCAAAAAAAGCATAAAAGAACAGCTTTCACTACAGTTTAACCGTAGATTAAATCAGCTCTTTGAAAATCCATAGCTACATGAATGTGTTTGATAGGTATGCTTAAAACTAACGTGATAAGAGTGAGCTTATACATTCTTTATATCAATGACTTTTTAATATGAAGTTGTATGCTACCTAGGATGCTTTGAAAAAAACAGCCCATTTATATATCGACTCTGTGCTTCGGTTAATTTATGATATAATAATAACATTTAGCGGAAGTTGTATATTGTTTGGCAGAACTAGTATTATGTCTAGAAAAAGTTTGCTAATTGTCAGATTTTAGTAAAAAAAATTATTTCATTGTTAAATAATTTCGATGTGTAACAATATGAGTTTATTATAGAAATTAGAAATGCAATAAACTTATAATCATATAAAGAAAAGTGGGTGTGACATCCAGAATTATCTACATATGCAACGGCCTTTCCCTGATAAAATGATCAGAGTTTTTGGCCATAACACAATGTTACGCGGATAAAATACATGTACTTGAAACGCCAACTAATGCTCTATATAAATTATTAATTTTGAATTTAGTAAATGAAAGAAAAACGGTATGGAAAAACGTCAGTGGAGCAGTCATACGAGGACTAACGCAAATAAAAAGCTAAAATGAAAATGAAAAGTGTTGAAGAAGTTGATGTGCGTATGGATGGTGTTAACTAAATAGCACTTTTCTATTAGATTAACTTGCAAATTTTCGGAATGTGTATTGTGGCTTTATTAGTTTTTTTTCCATGATATACCAATAGTTGTTAAAATGATATCTGAATGTAGTTAAAATTAGCCATCTTAACTTCCCATGCAGATTAAAATTGGAAAAAAAGATTTAATATAAAGGAGTCTTCTTTATTCCAAAATTTCTTCTTTTTTTAACAACGTTCTGGGGGACATAACGAAAATCCCATTTTCTGCTGTCTTCTTTTTTCTGGTTAATTTTTAAGTACCAGTAATCCATAATAGCTCGTGGAAAAACATATATTCTTGTAAATGGCAGAATTTAGGCTAATTTAATCACCATCATGGTATCATAACGAAAAATCCCATTTTTTCTGCTTTGATTTTTTCTTTGCTAATTTTTCAAGTACTAATAGCTCGTGGAAAAAATATATTCTTCCATGGCAGAATTGTAGGTTATTTTAATCACCATCATGGTATCATAACAAAAATCCCATTTTTCCGCTCTGATTTTCCTTGCTAATTTTTTTAAGTACCAATAATCCTTAATAGCTCGTGGAAAAAATATATTTTTGCAAATGGCAGAATTGTAGGTTATTTTAATCAGCATCACCGTATCTCATACCTTACGGAAGCAGTTGAACGCAGCACGCAAGACGTATTTAACAACATGAAGTTCTTCACTGATACGCCTTGTAGCCCAGCATGCATGCTTCTCACAAGTATTTTAACACAGCTTCATATTCCTCTGCTACCATTCAATATTGGCGTTTTACTTAGGGGAATTTCTTCTTCATTGAAACATTCTTTGTGCTTTGTATTATTATTTTACATTTCAACTGGATACTGCGCATGGTGAAAAGGCCTTACAGGTACTTTTTGTATAATAGTGGAAAAAAATAATATATATTCGAATACATGAATAATAATGATTTTCATAGATTTTTGTCTTAATGTGATAATATACATTCTCTTATTATTAATTTCTTTATTTATCTGTACATTATTAATAAAATATGTATAGATTATTATAGGAAATAATGTATTGTTTATGCTGTGAAGACTCATCTTATATACATTTTATAATTATAAAAGAGTTATAGTTGAATTGAAGTACATGTAGATTCAAACATTGTGAAACATTGTGCATTGGTTAGCATATATAAAAATTAGAAACTTTTTATATTAGCCGATAAAATGAAATAAAGTTTTGTTGTTTTTTTAATTATTGTAATCGGTTGAAACTTTTTTTGGTTTTTAAAAGATTACTTTATATAATACATGTAGGAAATTAAATTCATATGACAATGTCTCATCACTGTTTAATGTTAAATGATATGGGTTTTGTATGAATTCACGGATACAAATCTAAATACATTATCCTGTAACATAGAATTAAGTGGAGAGAAAAATTAATAGAAGTTTCTCTTCCTTTTGCATGCTTTTCTTTGAATGTATAATTTGATTTGTGTTAGTATTGTATGTGTTTAATAGTATATATCTGGAAAATAATAATGTTTAAACTAGCTTAAACTTTGCGTTTATAAATATAAAATTAAGTATAGTCATATACAATTATTACGTTAACTTTAGTAGAATATACTTCAATAAATGTTTAAAGTATGACTGTAACTATACTTATATCGTTATAACTATTAGATGATATTGTCTGATGGGGAATTACGCATTATTAGATTAGTAAAATAAAAATGTGAAGACTGGCACAACTGCTTGAAATATCATATAATATTTTCTAATACAGCACATCGATGGTAGATAGCTAAAAATATAAGATAGAGTATTTTATCAAAAGATTTGAGATATGCCGGAAAATCATTATCTTTTTTGTTTTGACAAGAAACAGAGTCAGTGCAGTATTGTTTATTTTGTCTTGCCAATTACCGCTTTTCAAACTAAGCAGCTTGGATAATTTACTGTAGCCAGTTTTGTTTTTGTTCACATATACTTAGGTATAATCTATTTTTGAATTTCAAAAAAGAAACTATCAAGATTGAACGATGCATTTGAATTTTGAAGAGAAAAAATGTCATAATTATCTTAATATTTCATGATTTAAGTTTTCCCATAATCCATGCAAGCGTCTGAATTCCTACCATTAGTCGATCATTTCCCCATAACTGAATAAATAATCTTCCATTTGCCTTGTGATGTTCAGACTGTTTCTCATTGTTGTATAACATTGTCTGCACCAGAGAGGAATAGCCCATGGCATTATTAGAATATCTATCTCGCATGACATAGAACACGGGGGACTATAAAGTACATCATATTCCCATTATTCTCAGACGTCTGTATATACAATATATTCATTACCCATTGATCCGGCGCGTATCAATACATCAAAATCTCTAAAACAGCTAGTGTCTAGTAATCTATTCATGTCCTTCAGACAGCCCTATAATACAGTCAATTTTAGTGTATGACATAACAGAGGAGAATTGGAATAAAATAGTAATTTGTGTTTTAACAGAAATTGAATGCATCACTTTTACTGCATTAATGCATTATAAATGGTCAAAGCGTAGACAGTGTTCATGCTTACGATATATGTGGTCATTTATTACAATATTTATGACTATAACTGTTTATCCAAATATTTGCAATCAGTTGTTTGCTATTTTAAAACGTGGTCGGATTTATTTGATTCACAACTTCATGTATTAGATTCATCTGATTAAAAGTCAATCACGCAATAAGACGATTTTGAAGAAGAAAAAACAACAATCCATTTTGAACTAAGTATAATAATGAATGGTTTACATAATGCTAACAAAGAAGTGTGCGTAAACAAGTTAAACAAATTACAGAATAATTAACAATGCTATATGTTTATATTCGTGAATTCTCTAGAATACCCACGTCTTACCGCGAACTGAAATTTGGATATAATCATTGGAGATCTTAATCATCTAATGTTCTTTGTGAATTTTCTGCATACTGATTTCTATAATGGATTTTACATTTGTTCTCGTTGACTCTCTACTGGATGGATATACATATTGATATATTGATGTTTGAAAGGCACTTTTCACATGATAAAAGGAAAAGATCTATACAAATAATGCACCTTATCACATGCCGTCAAATAAAGAATTGAGATAAACAACTCATAACAAATACAAAAGAAACAGAAAATCGTTTAATTTAGTATCTTTTTAATCAATTATTCACCCTAAAACATCAAAATTTCATCTGAAAGGCAGCTGTGTCCTCTATTTGCACTAATGCACAATTATGATAACATTTGACTGAATAATCGTGCTTACATTTAAATATATTTTTGTTGCTTTTTGCAATATTCTTGCAATTTTATGTTAGTCAAGATAAAACTGAATCAATTGAGAACAAATATTTGCAAATGTTGAGCAAAAGACGCCTCTTGGTCCACGATTTTAGACAGCAGGTTTTTAAATATTGATATCCAATCATTCATTTGACGTCGCAAGGACTTGTGTAATATTGAATAATGCTTTGTCAAAAAGAATGTAAGCTATGAAAGAATAAAATTGTTCTCTCAATGTATTTGCATGTAGTCAAAATTGTTTAAGTCGAGTCTAGCCGCCAAAGAATGTCTGCAAATCTTGAATTACCAAACACTTCATATAGAAAAAAATGGCATTATAACAAAAGAAAGTAACTTATATTTCATAAACATGGATTATAAGAAAGGACAAAATGTTTGTAAGTTAAGAGTTTTATATCTTTTTGTTATTGTTATTAATTTCTTCAGTAGTATCCATGCTATTAAAAGGCAATGAGATTTGGTTTTTGAAAAATGATTTTGATGATAATTACTTTTATTTTCATGTAGTGTGTCTTTGCATGCGACCAATTTAATTTTGAGTGATGAATTTAATTCTAATTTCATATAAGTTTTAAGTAAGTGTGTACAAAACAATAAAATTTAAGTCGCTTCTTTTAAACAGCTTCATGTAGTCGATGATGACCAATTTCGGGTATGTTGATCATCGACCTGACATGTATGAGCTTATTTCAGTGTTATTTTATTATTTCTGGTCCTTGAGCCAATGCTCGGGGATGTGAGAGATATTGCTCTGTTCATTATCCGAGTCTGCAGTTTTCAAGTAGTAATTTATTTTGTTCCCATTGCTTAAGAGGGACCTCCTCTTTCCAGATAGTTTATCTGTATGATTCATCGTTAAGAAAATTAAATTTTACTTTATAACTTTTTATTTGAATGGTGCGACATTTTTATCCTAGTATATTGATACGTAAATGATCATACTTATTTTAGAAATATACGTATTTAAGGCACATTAAATCTCAAAAAATAAATACGATCTTCCTCTGCTATGAAAGAAAGGTAAAACTGTCTTTATAATATTTTAATAATGGATTAAGAGCACGTTAGACGGTTATCATGTGGAGAAGGCAACGCTTATTTTCTGTTTCTCTTTTTCGTCCATCCATCATATATGAATTAATCTATTTTTGATTTCAAAGAACTAATGATAAACATGTTTTTTGAACAGATATGAGAAACATTCTTTCTCAAATTCATGTGGTAATTTCATTATCATATTCCACTATAATATCTTTCAAATTCATGTGGAGAAGGCAACGCTTATAAATTTTATGTATGATAAGAAATTAATAATAAATTTGTTTATGAATGATCATATGATTAATATTATAAATTCAAGGGAACATTCATGTACGATATATGTGGTATTAACAATAATCTATAACTGTTTATAATATTGAATCGTGTTTCATTTAAAACGGTCGTTATACTAATTAATATACATTGATTAAATCAATCATAGATTTCTGAAGAAAACATCTTTTGAATGTATAATATGAATGGTTACATAATTAATGAATGTCGAACATTTCCAATAAGAAATTAACAATGTTAGTTATATGGTTAGAATACGTTAGACTAATTGATATAACATTAATCTTAATATAATTTTTTGAATTTTCCATACATTCTATAAGATGTCTTTTTCATGACCTAGATGATATAATATTGTATTATATTTTGGGATTTTCACATATAGAAAGATCTATAATAAACCTTATCACATGCCCAAATAAATGAGAAAACCCTTCAAAATAAAATTTTTATTTATCTTCTTTAATCTTATTACTAAATAAAATTTCAAAAAGTGATTTGCACTAACATTATGTACATTTTAATATCGTGCTAATTTAAAATATTTTTGCTTTGAATTCTTAATTATGCTTAGTAAAAAAATGAATATTAGAACAAATATTGCAAATGTTGAGCAAAGAGTTTGTCATTTTAACCAGTTTCTAATATTATCCAACATCATTATGCAAGATTGATTTGAAAATGTTTGTCAAAAATGTATATAAAGATAAATTTTTTATGTATTTCATGTAGTAAATTTTAAGTGTTACAGCAAAATGTGCAAAATTTGAGTTTTAACATATATAAAAATGGATTATAACAAATTTTTTATTTCATACATATTTAGAAATTTAGTTAGAGTTTTATCGACCTGACATGTATGAGCTTATTTCAGTGTTATTTTATTATTTCGTGGTCCTTGAGCCAATGCTCGGGGATGTGAGAGATATTGCTCTGTTCATTATCCGAGTCTGCAGTTTTCAAGTAGTAATTTATTTTGTTCCCATTGCTTAAGAGGGACCTCCTCTTTCCAGATAGTTTATCTGTATGATTCATCGTTAAGAAAATTAAATTTTACTTTATAACTTTTTATTTGAATGGTGCGACATTTTTATCCTAGTATATTGATACGTAAATGATCATACTTATTTTAGAAATATACGTATTTAAGGCACATTAAATCTCAAAAAATAAATACGATCTTCCTCTGCTATGAAAGAAAGGTAAAACTGTCTTTATAATATTTTAATAATGGATTAAGAGCACGTTAGACGGTTATCATGTGGAGAAGGCAACGCTTAATGTGAAACTATTCGTCATAAAAGTATCAAAGCGTGAACAACGTGGTATTTTGTCTTCCATTCAAAATACTAAATTAGGATGGTTCATCACTGTTTAATGCCAAATGATATGGTTTCTTTTATGAATTAACGGATATAAATCTAAATACATTATCTTGTAACTTAGAGTTAAAGAGTTAATTTTTTTTATAGAATTTTGTCTACTGTTCCCATCTTTTTCTTTGAATGTATAATTTGATTTGTATCAGTATTGGATGTGTTTATATGTATGTATCTGGGAAAATAATGATGTTTAAAATAACTTAAATCTAACATTTATAAATATAAGATTACGTAACTATTCATAAACAAACATTACGTAAACTTCAGCAGAAGTTACTTAGAATCCAATACATGACTAAAGTATGACTGTAACTATATCTATATCGTATAATTGGAATCACACAACTATTAGATGAAATTTTCTGATGGGGAATTACGCATTATTAGATTAGTTAAATAAAAATGTAAAGACTGGAACAACTGTTTGAAATATCATAATATATTTTCTTAGACAGCACATCAATGAGAGAAAGTTAAAATATATAAGGAAGAGTATTTTTTATTAAAAGATTTGAGATATGCCGAAAAATCATTATCTTTTGTTTTGTTAAGAAGCAGAGTCAGTGCAGTATTGTTTATTTTGTCTTGCCAATTACAGCTTTTCAAACTAAGCAGCTTGGATAATTTACTGTAGCCAGTTTTGTTTTGATCACATACGTAACATTTTGAAACCTCTTTTTTTAGCACTTTAATGGCATATTTTATATATTATTTGTCCTGATGAAGATCATCTTTGATCGAAACTAGTAGACTATAATAAAGTATTTTAACCTATTAGGTGGTTACGTGTGGTTTCTCTTTGTTCTCCACTACCTCTAGTTCACATATACTAAGGTATAATCTATTTTTGAATTTCAAAAAGGAAACTATAATGATTGAACGATGCATTTAAATTTTGAAAACAAGATCAATGAGAAAACATGTCATTATTACCTCAATATTTCACGATTTAAGTTTTCCCATAATCCATGCTAGCGTCTGAATTCCTACCATTAGTCGATCATTTCCCCATAACTGAATAAATAATCTTTCATTTGCCTTGTGATGTTCAGACTGTTTCTCATTGTTGTATAACATTGTCTGCCCCAGAGAGGAATAGCCCATGGCATTATTAGAATATCTATCTCGCATGACATAGAACACGGGGGACTATAAAGTACACCATATTCCCATTATTCTCAGACGTCTGTATATACAATATATTCATTACCCATTGATCCGGCGCGTATCAATACATCAAAATCTCTAAAACAGCTAGTGTCTAGTAATCTATTCATGTCCTTCAGACAGCCCTATAATACAGTCAATTTTAGTGTATGACATAAAAGAGGAGAATTGGAATAAAATAGTAATTTGTGTTTTAACAGAAATTGAATGCATCACTTATACTGCATTAATGCATTATAAATGGTCAAAGCGTAGACAGTGTTCATGCTTACGATATATGTGGTCATTTATTACAATATTTATTTCTATAACTGTTCATCCAAATATTTGCAATCAGTTATGTGCTACTTTATAACGTGGTCGGATTTATTTGATTCACAGCTTCATGTATTAGATTCATCTGATTAAAAGTCAATAACACAATAAGACGATTTTGAAGAAGAATATTAAAACAATCAATTTTGAACTAAGTATAATAATGAATGGTTTACATAATGCTAACAAAGAAGTGTGCGTAAACAAGTTAACAAAATTACAGAATAATTAACAATGCTATATGTTATATTCGTGAATTCTCTAGAATACCCACGTCTTACCGCGAACTGAAATTTGGATATAATCATTGGAGATCTTAATCATCTAATGTTCTTTGTGAATTTTCTGCATACTGATTTCTATAATGGATTTTACATTTGTTCTCGTTGACTCTCTACTGGATGGATATACATATTGATATATTGATGTTTGAAAGGCACTTTTCACATGATAAAAGGAAAAGATCTATACAAATAATGCACCTTATCACATGCCGTCAAATAAAGAATTGAGATAAACAACTCATAACAAATACAAAAGAAACAGAAAATCGTTTAATTTAGTATCTTTTTAATCTATTATTCACCCTAAAACAACAAAATTTCATCTGAAAGGCAGCTGTGTCCTCTATTTGCACTAATGCACAATTATGATAACATTTGACTGAATAATCGTGCTTACATTTACATTAATTTTTGTTGCTTTTTGCAATATTCTTGCAATTTTATGTTAGTCAAGATTAAACAGAATCAATTGAGAACAAATATTTGCAAATGTTGAGCAAAAGACGCCTCTTGGTCCACGATATTAGACAGCAGCTTTTTAAAATATTGACATCCAATCATTATATTGACGTCACAAGGACTTGTGCAATATTGAATAATGCTTCGTCAAAAAGGAAGTAAACTATGAGAGAATAAAATCGTTGTCTAAATTTATTTGCATGTAGTCAAAATTGTTTAAGTCGAGTCTAGCCTCCAAAGAATGTCTGCAAATCTTCAATTGCCAAAAGCGTCATAGAAAAAAGTGACATTATAACAAAAAGAAAGTAACCAATATTTCATAAACATGGATTATTAGAAAGGACAAAATGTTTGAAAGCTAAGTGTTTTATATCTTTTATTCTTGTTTATTAATTTCTTCATTAGTTTCCATGCTATTCAAAGGCAATGAAATTTGGTTTTTGAAAAATGATTTTGATAATAATTACTTTTATTTTCATATAGTTTGTTTGTCTTTGCCTGCGACCAATCTAATTTTGAGTGGTGAATTTTAATTTTGAGTTTATATAAGGTTTAAGTTATTTTGTACAAGTCAATAAACATTTAAGACGCTTCTTTTAAACAGCTTCGTGTTGTCAATGATGACCAATGTCGGGTATGTTGATCATTGACCTAACATGCATGAGCTTATCTCAGTGTTTTTTTAAATATTTCTGGTCCTTGAGCCAGTGCTAGGGGATGTGAGAGATAATTCTTTTTTCATTATGGGGGTCTGAAGTGGTCATGTATTTTTTGTTCACATTGCTAACGAGGGATCAACACTTTTTAGATAGTTTATCTGTATGATGCATCGTAAAGAAAATTATTTAAGGCACATTAAGTATCATAAATAAATTTGATTTTCCTCTGCTCTGAGTAAAGGTAAACCTATGTTTATAATATTTTAATAATGGATTAAAGCATGTTAGACGCTTATCATGTGGAGAAGGCAACGCTTAATGTGAAATTATTCGTCATAGAAATATCAAAGCGTGAACAACATGGTATTTGTCTTCCATTCTCAAAATACTGAATTACTATAGCTTTATTTATGGTAAAAGAACAACTTGAAGATAAATGCAGATGTCTGGGGTCCGTCTTATCAACGGTCGTACGACCGTTTTTATCATACGATTGTCGTAAAAGTACCTGCCTCTTAACAAAGAGGTCGTAGGTTTGAGCTCTATTTGGATCACAGCCATGTCTCCTTATATGACACCAGTAATTGTTAGTTAATGGAAGCGGACTCGAAAGTGATTAGTAAAAATTGCAAGAACTTGGTTCGCCATCGAGCTCAAATAAATGTATTTAAACTAAAGTAAAAGATCAAAACATATTCCAAGGCACATGAATACTGTTGTGTTCGTCTTTGACCTAAGAAGTTCAAATGATTTAATTTTCAATAATCAACAATAAGATAGTTAATAATATAATCTTGTTATTGAATGCTTTACTTGGTTAGAACATGATGACCTTTGGTGTAGCAATTACACGTGTGCGTGCATGCGGTCGTGCGTGCATGTGTGTATGTGTGTTTACTTTGAAACTGTTCTGCTACACTTACGTGGGGAAAGGCTTGCTTTCCTATAGTTTACTGGTCATCACTCACAGTTAAAGTAATATCTGCCGACTGTTTCAGTACATAAGAAAATATCCTCATTTCAAAACAAAATGAGTCAGTGTTTATTTGCAGCGTATCATCGCGTATGTTTTATATCACTGTAAATTATTTAATTGTTTAAGAAATGTTTTCGTCTTTTGCTTCTAAAAAATCAAATCTATTCCATACGAACAACGTGTTGTATTGCACCGGAATCAAAGACACGGGGATTCGCGAATTGTAAATAAAATTTAATTGTAAATTTATTTAAGTTTTTTGGTACATTTCAGTAAACATTCAGAAATCTGTCCAAAATGAAAAGTTTTTGAAAAAAAAACCTTTTGTAAAATACTTACTTTCAGAAGCAGATAACTCTTAAAGTAGAATGTTGGTCCCCATTTCTTTTTCATCATTTTGTTTCAGTTATGATTCTCTTCCATGATGCAAAATTTAAGACAATTCTCTGCACTTGTTTAATTTTTCCTTTCTTTGTCTTTGTAAAACATTGCAATTTTCCAAGAAACGTACTATAATACTGAAATAACAATGGTTTGTCAAAATGTTATTATTCTTAATAAGTTACAGAAAGAGTGTTCGAAGTTTTTATTGCAAATTTTAGTTTTAAATTTTTATTGAATCATTTATTCAAAAAGATTTGTTTATTTTTCAGGCACCAAGACTTTGCAATCACCACAAATACGAGTTATGAAGATATAGAGACAATTTCAATATGATTTTACAAGTATCTGGTATGTAGTTAAACTAGTATTTATTGTTTAACAGTGTAATTTCTTATATAAACATATCGTGACAACAAAACTTATCCGCGTGTCTTCTGAGCATGCTTATAAATACATTATAAAGTAAGCAGGATTGAGTGAAGTCTAGGAAATGCTATTAAAAAGATATTTGTAAGAGAATGAGCATAAGCGTAAGGTACATTTTATCTATTACTATCAGTACAAGCATTTTGATTGTGAGAAACTGGTTACAAAAAAGTATTGATTTTAAAAAATTACATTTCATACACTTGCAAGTATATTTTTATCATTGAAAAATTGCCCGCTTGACCACTTTGGTCACCTTCAATCTAAAATAAATTAAATTAATAGATAAATAAATTGTGCTCAATACAATTGTGTAGCCTGGCGTAGCTATATACTGTTCGTACAAATTTTGCATTTTGTTTTTGAAATCCGCTGAAATTCAAATGTACTGCTGAAAGTTAAAAACAGAGCAAAACCATTACATTAATTTAGCTGGACAAGAGTTAAATATCCTATATTCTTCACGTTTTCGTACTAATCAAATACTGAAATATTATATCTGTTAGCTTTTATTGACCAACGAAGTTCATGTGATGATTTATAGCAAGGGTGACCTTTCAACAAACCATACAGGTTTAGTTTTTGGGTTATTTAATTGATTTAAGCGCGGGATGTTTAATTTTAGCCTTTTTGCTGGTGTTGATGTTTTTGCTACTGATATCATCATCATCATCATAAACATCGTCATCATCATCATCATCATTATCATCGTCATCATCATCATCATCGTCGTCATCATCATCATCATCATCATCATCATCATCATCATTATTATTATTATTATTATTATTATTATTATTATTATTATTATTATAGCCGTAAAATTCTGTATAAAATAAATTTATTTTTATTTTATTTTTTATTTATTTATTTTTTATTCATCTATACTATAGATGGAAAACAAAAAGTTTTTCAAGTCGTATGCATGATATACAGCTATATTTATCTAATTTAAAAGTATTTCAATATAAATATACACGAACAATGCACAGTATTAAAGAAATAAAAACCACAGTTAAATTAGACAAGAAAAGAACAAAATAAAATATAAGTGAGAGGAGTATTGCATTTTTTATTCATGCTCCGATTTTTCTTAAGAAACGACTTCAAGAAATATAAAATAATTTTAAGAAATAAACTGCAGGTATGTCGATTTATGAAGTGACAGACATATATCTTATATATATATCTATCATCAGGCGGCGTTTATCTGGTAAGGTCAGCCTGGGTGAAGAACCCATTGAGAAATCTGACAGGTGCTTCAAGTTGTCGTAAGGCGATAAAGTACTTACTATAACAATGGGCGTTTAAAACTGCTGCCATTGAAATAGCCGTCTAATCACCTAATTTACATCCCTTTATCCTTACACTAATATTTCACACAGACATTGATTTCTTATTTTATAATAGTGAACAAAGGTGATTGTTAAATTTATGTGTTTTTGACGAAAGTGATACTTGTTTTAAGGAATACTAACTTGTTTTAAGGAATACTATATTATAAATAAATAGGTTTGCAGTTTTATATCTTTTTATTATATTTATGTGCAAATTAATTACGATGATTTATATTTTTTCTTTCCTTTAACATTTTTTACATTCTTTTTTATTTATTTTATTATCATTATCTTTTAATTATTATTATTATTATTATTATTATTATTATTATTATTATTATTATTATTATTATTATTAGAAACATACCTTTTGTCCGCATTATTAAAAGTAAAAGTAATCTCGCTTTAAGGAAGTTTATATTCATATCAATATAATTATAAAAGTTAATCCAGCCCAATATAAAAGTTAACATACGAAACTTTCAAGTTTTCAATGATTTAGTTAAAAAGATGTCAATATTGTATAAGAAATAGTATATATGATATTCATAAAGATCTACCAAAAGAGCATTTTAGAAGTGCAGGCACATCTTTCATATACAGTATTAGTTTTATAAGCTTCTTTGTACTAATAAAGTTCCTCTAAAATGTCACATGTTTCATAGATAGAACATTCTTGGATAACAAAATATCAGCAACGTCATTATATTTCAACCTAAAACAAGCAATAGTCCTTGTACACAGTATATCTAATAAAAGTATAATCATAGTCTAAATAAATATACAAAAAAACATGTACGTATTCAAAGAACTGATAAACAATGGATAGCTGACCATTATCGTAAAACAGCTTAGGTAATTATTGTGAAGCATTTCGTGGTATTCAAGTTTTACCTGAAAGGTCCATTTCAAATGCATATGCATATATTGTGTACATGTATTGTGAAGTAGGGGACATACTAATTATGGATATTGAGGGACTGTATAAAGAATAACTTTATGCATGTATGGAGAATTAGGATTTAAAGGATACCTGATATTAAAGATATCAGATGGTTTGATAGAACTTCATTGCCGACATCCTCATTGCGATATCTAGTGACTTGCTTCTGATAAAACTTTTTTTGTGTTACGTAACAATTTAGAAAGTATTTTTCATAATTAAAATGTTGATTATGAACTTGACATTCTTAGTCATTTTAAAGGGTTTGTGATTTTTTTCAGGTCCGTCGTGACAGAGACAAGATAATGTTGGTCGCGCAGCTTTTAGTCTGGTTGAACTCCGCCATCACTCTCTCCGCATTATTCACGTGTCCGGAAATGACGAACTGCGCATGCGGCGAAGAAACTGATTGGTGGCTGAATGAATGGACAAATGTTAAAGTGGTGAACTGTTCTTATCGTGCCTTGACAAGAATTCCAAATCTAAGTCTTCTTACAGACACACCATTCCACAGACTTTTACTTAATAATAATAACATAACAGATATTAGACGTGATGATTTTAAAAACATATCGGTTAAAGAAATTGTGTTGCGTAAAAATCCAATGAAAAGAATTCCACATGATTCGTTCCAGGAAGTTAGACATGTTTTAGAAATTCTTGATTTAGATAGTGATAGAATAACAATTGATGAAGGTCTGCGTTTCCTTCATGGACTTTATAAATTAAAAGTTTTAGATCTAGGGTACAATAGGTTAAAGAATGAATATGACGAGTTTCCTTCAGAAGTTTTTGCTAATGCTAACTTGTCGTCATTGACAACGCTTACACTGCAAGCGTTGCAGACGACAAAAATACATGACGGAGCGTTCTCCGGTATAGAAAATTTGGAGCAGCTGGATCTCTCTTATAATTTCATTTCAGACTTCCCTTCAGAATTACGCAAACTGAAAAATTTGCAAGGTCTGAAGTTGTACTCAAATGAATTAACAAGTATAAAAAATAATACATTTGCAGGCCTGAAAAAGCTAAAGAAACTTCTTATTGGTGTCAATGAAATAACTGCTGACAGTATCGAATTAGGAGCGTTTAACGATCTAGCTGATTCTATTGAAGAAATAAACTTTTATCAAAATCCGTTGATGAGAGTTCCTTCAGAAGTACTTCAAAATTTGAAGAACTTGAAAAAGCTGAGTTTGGTAAAAACAAACCTAGAATCTGTAGAAAATGGTTCTTTCGTTGGTGATTACAAATTAGAAGAGTTGCACTTGGACGATAATCCTAAACTAAGGTTTGAAGACGACGGTTCTCTCAATGGTATAGAAGATTCACTTCAAGTACTGTTTATACGCAGGTTAAATTTAGATGCATTGCCATTAAATGTGTTAGGACGACTGGGAAGCCTCTATTACTTAGATGGAGCCGAAAATCTTTTCACAAAAATTGATAAGCATTTCTTTAACGGTCTTAACCTTTCCAATATAAAGCTAATGTGGAACAAGATCAAGCATGTGGATCATAGAGCCTTTATGAAGATGGACAAAGGTGTAATTCTTGATCTCCATGGCAATGACATCCATGATGTTTCATTTATTCTTCAAAATGAGGAATGTTTTTTCCAAGAAGTATATTTGACTAAGAATAAAATTCCATGTGATTGTTCGGTAGAAAAGGTTATAAACAGTGGTGTGGTCAGTTGGCAAGTTATTGGAGAATGCTATGTCGAGACTAGTGGAAGTAAAAGGTGGTACAGTTTTGACGACACCAAACTGATGGGACATTTTGGAAAAGTGTGTAATAAAACCCGTACTTATTCGAAATGTTTCCAAAGCACGTCTGGTTCCGGACGCCAGTGTTTATTTAACTTAATTTATTTCTTCATTTGTGTCATTTTGTCTAGAACTATATTAAAGATTTAGGAACAAATTATCTTAGGGACCGAGAAGTATGGTGAAAAACAAAGAGTGATGTTTAGGACATTTTCTATAGATAAGAAGGGAACATAATACTATACCTTGTCAAGTACGTGCATGAATGCTCTTTACATTTATAGTTAGTTTAGTCATTTAAAATGACTTATAAACAAAAATATTTTTTAAAAAAACACGAGATAACGAATTTTTGAAATTCTGTCAATACGTGAGAAGATGCGTGAATACGCAAATACGCATAATGATGAATGTACCTAAGTGCTGGTGAATCTTGAGAACACATGTACATGTGTCTAAATATAGACCAAATATAGATCAAAACTTGTTTTACCATTTTATCTTTTTAGTCTGTTAAAATGTAGTTTTGCTTCAAGTGTAGTCCTAACTAAGTTAAACATGTCAAATTGCTATTATTACATATTAAGATATTAAAATGGTCTTTTAAAAAGAAGTTGAATTTATTAGCTGACACGTGCCTCATAGGCAAGCATTAACACCTGTTCTACTATATATGTAAAATGGACTTGCCCAGTTTTTATGTTTTTTATACTGAAGTATTTATTGTTAATGTAAGGGATTTCAACATCAAAATACTAATATTAAGCGGCCAACAGTTTAAAGTCAAGTCAGAATTATGCAGGCTGTTCTTGCGAGCATTCAAATCATTGATGACGCCATGTACTCTGTTTTTGATGTTCAAAATAATGGAAATAAAAACATTTTTTCGGACGATTTCAGCTGATATCGATTATCTAGCTCGTATCTATATTAAATTTGAAGTTGGGCTACTAAAAATGGTAATAAATCGTTTTGGTATAAAGATGAACTAGCCCTTATTTTAACGAAAATACGAGGAGTTTTCTCGAAGTAAGAGGGCTTTTCACGAAAGAAAGGTGACAAACAAAATGAACGATGAATGTTCGTGAAATTAAGAAGGTGTTCGGAATTATCCAATTAAGCTTAAACATGTCATTTTCAGATGAGCACTCATCAAAATCACATGCGGTGGAGTAAAACGGCCAACCCTTGTCTTTGGACGGCTATGTTACGATAAAACGTTCTCATGCAAAATACATGTATTCGGTTTTGTGAACCATCGTTTGGCCAAAGAAACAACCATAATGTAACTATGGTAATTTCAATAGTTCTATAATTCGTCCTCGAAAATTATATTAGTAAAACTTTTGCGCTTATTATAACCAAAAACTAATGAAAAGAAAACTATGACCAAACGGGGACGTAACGGAACAAACCACCCCTCTTTTGTAAACAAACAGCTGAATATTTTTAACAACAACATTATCAAAAACAGTCCCATCATTAGCTTATTTTATTTTTCACTAAATTGGTAGTTTTCGGAAATTCATTGTACGTTTTTTTGGGGTTTTTTTAAAGTGGTGTTAGAAAGCAAGTTTTCTATATGCGAACTAGTGTATGCTCATATTTATATTATACATGTACAGTTGAGTTCACACTAAACTTCCCACCCTTGTGCACTTCTAGTGCACTAGAGCTGAACTAGAAGTGCACAAGAAGTGCACTTCTAGTGCACTAGATCATATGACCAGGCTGGCCAGGGAAGGTGACACCCAAATGGTTTATTGATAAGTTGATAAGTTTATTTCAATATTCCATTGGACCAAATGGCCCATGAGGATAAACAGATACATGATACATGACAAGACAGTGTAAAGCATGTATACGAAATATGAATCTCGGAGCAAATAAAAAGCAAATTCTACCTGGCTTATATCAGTGTTACATCATAATATTCCAGAAATTCAGAAACAATTTGAACAAATATTTTCATAGGTGATAGTATGCACTTTATCTTCAATTTTTGATATTGGATTCTTTGAGAAAGCAATGAATGAAATGTTAAGACAGGTCGCATCTTACATTACGTTATAGAAAATGTAGGCAGGTAACCAGACTAGTTAGAAGTCTACTTGATGGTTCCCTTTCCGCGTTTCCTTTACACTCTTGGCAAAGTCAACAAGTCTCTTGCAGACGCTCAGCACTGATTTTGCAGAAATTGCAACGTAACTTAATTCAGATAAATCTCTTTAAAAATGAGAAATATGTTCCTTTCCAAAGCCAGATGCTATAAATTGTGCCTGAAATAGCCGATGGACCCCATTATACGCAAAAATTGACGATAAAACGTTCCAAAGTACCCACTTGCTCAAAGCATCTCGGCATGGGAAGTCTCTGGTAAACAGAAACTCTAAATATTGTTGAAAACCTAAGATATTATCGAATACATTAAAGCATAAACTGTCAGTTCTGGTTATGATTCTGTATTTGACAAGTTAAGTTAAAAGTCGTATACGCATTGCATCTGAGATAAACAATAATTTAAGATGATGAAATTATCAGAATGTTATTATTTATTTATTTACAATGTATTTATTTATTTATTTACTCATTATGGTATGTTTTTTTTTTTCTTTTCTTAGTTTTCACTTTTTATACACCGTGAGTTTATTAAATATTAAATGTCCCTGGTTGTCCGCCCGTCTGTCTGATCCTTAACAATTTATTCGTGTCTACATATTTTGAGTCACTTTAGGAATTGGGTAATGTTGTGTTCCTGGGCAGGCTCTCAAGAGCTCTACCAGTACTATTGCCTTCACGTTCGCAAGGAACATATATTACTTCTGTACAAACCAGAGCAGAAGTACAGAGCAAATGACCGTAGAAAGGATTCCATGCTAATCATAACGAAATTAAAGTGACCTGCACCGTCCGGGAATCGAACTCAGATCGCTCGCTTGGTTCACAGTCCTATTGCGGTAACAGGACAGTGATCAGTTTTGTAATGGTAGTGGTGTTGGTACTTTTCACTCCGGAGCACGGCAGTAAGCCACATTGAATTCAGCAACCGCATAGTTCCTGGTCAAGTTGTCAAGAAGTTCACCAGTACTTGTTATATATGTACCCTGTAATTGAATTTGAAATCAAAATAGTTCTGTACGTTAGGTAAGCATCTACTGATCATGAAATAACATTTTCAATTTGTTCCACTCTGTAAATTGCCAATTGCTCTTCTCTCCCGACGCCTTGTTAGCAGAGATCTTACGTTCTTCTATTAACTATGTCTTTTAAGGAAAATTATATAAAGGCAAATCCAATCTAGGAATTAGATTGATCTATCTCTAGTTTAAGTATATCTATACAAAAACAAAGAAATAAATGACCAGATGAATAAAATTGCATTAACTTTTCTTGCAACTTAAAAAGTTATGAACGTTTCATATTAATGAAAAACTAGGAAGAAGGAAGTTACGTGTTTTTCATTATATACCTTGCGTATCGCATAAAAACAAAGTAAATGAAAGCGTTTGATTATTCTAATAATTACATTGCACTTGATATTTATTAATCTATTTCTTCGTGAACGTTTCTGTACAACAAAGTCTTTTGGTGGCATTATGTAAATTACATGTATGTTCTAAACTTCGCCGTAGAATACGCTCTTGTTAGGTAAAACCACTATCAAAGCAGCAGCCTGGTAATTTATATTTATGAAAATTTAAAATGTTTATAATTCCGTGATTTAGCACTTACTTTGGCACTAACTGTCCACAAAAGTCATCGATAACTTGTCAAAATACGTAGAAATGTCTCTTTAATTTTTACTCCGTTAGAAACGATGTATGAAAATAGTAAATTATGTAATGTTTTATATTTTCAACGTGATTGAGAGTACTCAAACATTTTTTTGACTATGATTACATTTTCCTTAATTTTGATATCTAAACGAGTTCTGATTTAAAGGGTATAAAGATAAGATATAGTATAAAACTATATCTTACGAAATATTTTTTATAAAATTTAACAATAAAATTGTATTGTTTCCGTGATCCTATAAGTTGTACCATAGAATGTCTCTTGTTATTTAACACACAAATATTTTATGTAAAACAGGAACATCTTAATACTGTTCAGAAATGATTGTACATGCTGTATATACGTGTACATGTATATATATTGTATGTTCTGCTCTTCATTATTTTTTAAGAATAAATACTTTAAGTAGGATTTTAACCGCGTAGCAATGATATGCATGGGACATTCGCTTTTCAGACAATATTCTTTTTCCCCCTTTCACACAGCGTTTTTAAATTTCAAACAATAGGTTTTTCTCTCGCAGATATAAATATACTAAATACACTTTAAACAACTATTTCGTCAATTTAGGCGGAAATTCCCCGGAATTTGGAATACCCGGCATTTTATCATATTAAACTTGACTTGGTTACAACTTATGGCATGGGCATGAGATATAGACAATTATAACTGACGCCAGTGCGTTAAAACACCCATATTTTGACACTTGGTCTATAATATACAGTAAGAACTACGACAGCCAGCATACCTGCTATTTACTACATTTGTCATTAATTAGCCAAGTGAACAATTGTCCCCATCACAAAATTATATACTGTCGGAAAAAATCATAAAGCAATCGCAGAGTATGTCAAACTTCTTACATACTTTTCAAACTGCCTTACTACGAGTATTCTATTATTCTCTCTCTCAAAGTATCGATGCTTAAAAAGCTCCACGTGTTCTTTTTCAATTATCAAAAATGAGGAAGAAGTTATTGGCAAAGTTTTCATATTTCAAATAATTCACTGATATAGCTGGCATGGAGAATGTATCATATTTTTAAATGAAAAGTTATATACAGACTGGCACCTTAATCTGCCAAATAATCTAGGTTTGTTTTGTTCTGATTAGTTTTCACGTCGCACCGACACAGTAAATGTCATATGGCGATTTCCAGCTTTACCCGTGGTCAGGTGGCTGTCTGTGCATTATTTCAGGCACGAAAGGGTACCTGTGAAGAACCACCGGCGTTCCGTAATTAAGCTAGCTAGATAGCTTCCTCTTATGAAAAAAACCAATGTCCCTGTCGGGATTCGAACCCATAGCGGTGAGGGGCATGTGGTATAAAGACAACGACTATAACCACTCAGCCACGGACGTCCTGAAGCTGTTCAAAAGTAGTCTTTGCGTTCTTTTTATTTGTGTTCTTATTTTCATTCAAATAACCCGTATTCACGTAAAATCGCCATCCAATATAATTTGATCAATCGCAAGAAAAGCTCTTCGACTAAAAGGTTCGTGACAAGTATATGAAGTTACACACATTCAATTTTGTAAAATGATAGAGTAAATTTAATGCGAAATGCATAGATCATCCTGAAACTTCGGTTCTAAATTTTACGTCAAACAAGCATTATGATTAAAGGGACACAACTCTATCCGGTAACATAATTTATATCTGTTTCAGTTACGTTTCTTTCTGGGACCAAATATACAAAAATAACTAGCTCTTGAAAACACATTAACCATACAGCTGCCAAATAACATTCATTTACAAAAACATATCGACTTCAGGTAATACTTTCAATCTTATATTGTATAAGTTTTGGATTTTTTGTTGTTTTTTGGGTTTTTTTTTTCTATTAACCATTGACCTATTTCATAAGATCAAAAAAACATATCCAATGTTTGATGCAACATGATTTTTTTGCAGCACGATTTAACTTCTTAAAATATCTCATCTAAGATTAAGCTTTCTGTGTAGCGAATCAAAACATAAAATACTCAAAAGGAGAAAAAAATTGTTCAATTTTAATATTTAACCAATCAATCAATCAACCAATTTAATAATTAGCCACTCAAACAGTCTATCAAAATATTTCTCTATGATTCTTTACATCAATCTATCAATAAATTTTTACTGCCTGTTCTTTTTGTGTTAAGAAAATAACATTGTATACATGAAAGAAATAACAAATATCATCATTAAAGATTTCAGATACTAAAATTCTGGCATCTTTAACAGTTAGTATGCAGTTGAGCTACAACATGTATCAAGGTAGGTATTAAAAGAAAATAACCGACATTGATTTATGAACATCTTTATCTTTATTGTGAATTCTTAAAAGAAATATTTTCATTAGTAACAAATATTCCAATATATGCAACATTGCATGAAAGTTAATTTAACATGTTACCATACAACATATTGCCACAACTTCCCTCATCATGGTATCACAACTTTTAAGAACATAACATTATGAATCATGAGGGCATACATTCTTATCATAAATCATACCTTATCAAGGACATAATCTCTCATTATATCATAAATCATTCATGACAAATCCGTTCATCACAATTTCTCATACGTAACAACTTAATAAGGACATAACCTCTCACTTAATAAGAACATAACCTCAGTCATTAAGAACATATGCTCTCAATAAGCACATAACCTCTCCTTTACTAAGGACATTATGTCACATAACCTCTCACTTACTTAGGACATAACCTCTCACTTATTTAGGACATAACCTTTCAATTACTAAGGTCATAACCTCTCACTTACTAAGGACATAACCTTTCACTTACTAAAAACTTAACCTCTCACTTACTAAAAACATACCCTCTCACTTACTAAGGACATAACCTCCCAATTACTAAGGACATAATCTCTCATATTAATCATTATCATATATATATCATATCTTATTAGGAGCAAAGCCTCTCAAATAAACATAAATCATAACTTATTTAGGACATAACCACTCACTTTTTAAGAACATAATCCTTTGCCATGTTAACAAAAATCATTACTGACAATCATTTACTTAAAGAGCCTAGAGGACATGTTATTCTAGTCATAATTTATTAAAGGACATAACATTATTAAGGTTATTATAGAAGACTCATAGCGGTAAAGCTTTGCTTGAAAATTACAAAAACTTTAAAGTATAACATTGAACCGACACTTTCTGAATCCATCAACACATGTACAAGTCATTCAATACTTAATAATTAAATTTCAAGCCATGATGTCTGAAACAGAAAACATTTGGTATTAAACTACTCTACAATAAATATCTACACAAAAAATAAAATGTAACATTTTTTGTAAATTTTGTACATACAGTTACTTCTTGTTGACAGTATAATTTTTATACTGTCAACAAGAAGTATGTAAAAAATTTACAAAAATGTTACATTCTTACAAGAAAACAAACACTTTGGCTCCAACTGCTTTTAAGCCTAATCCACAAAATACTAGAACCCTTGTCATTTTACAGCAATCATAACCATAGCAAACAAATCCTTCCGCCATTTTTTCTGTCTTTGCTGCTTCACAATAGTGAGACCAGCTTTATTTATTATATCCACATAGTGTTCTTCTGTTCTTAGAAAACTGCTATCATTAGAATCAAATTCAGTCTTGTCCGATATGCTAACATTTTCTTTCATCACAATAATGCCGTTGGGAGCAAGTCCTGTTTGACATCGTTTCAAAAATGCAATAAGGTGGTCATCTGTTAGATGACACACTACCCACTGACACCAGATTAAGTCATAATGACAAGGATCTGGGGAGAAATCTTGAAGGCCTGAACAAATAAACTTTTCAACTCTTCCAACCTCTGCTCCAATAAATGTTTTAGCTGTATCAAGAAATTTCTGCTCCAATTCAACCATATCCACATTTTTAAACAATGGCAGGAGTAATCTTTTGGTGATTCTACCATTGCCTGCGCCACAATCTAAAGCTCTCACACGACCTGTCTGTCCTTTGCTCTTCCCAATCTGAAAGTGTAATAATTACAAATGTATCCACATACTGCCAGTTTTCAATCACAACCACTTTTCAATCATCCCTGGAAATTCTTTATTTTTGACCTTATTTGTCATGTAAACAAACTGTAAGCACATCTTGTATTTACCTTGACTACATTTATCAGCAGCAATGTCAATTATGGCGTTAAAAAAGAAAATAACAGTATTTTAGTTCAAAACAAGAGCCATGTCAACATGGCCATCCCCCGCCGAATGTGTTTGCTCATTGGAAGAATGTATATGTAGTAGAGCAGAATAATTCCATTTTGAGAGGTCTTTTGGTAATGAAAACTGATGGCTATAGTGATTACAGATTTGAAACCTATGTGAATACTGATGGCTGAATATAACAAAGGGCAATTACTTGAAAAATAATGCAGGGTAGGTTATCATTCTTGTGTGCTGCATCCCTCCTCAGTAAAATCTATCCACCTATGAAGTTTCAAGTTGAATACCTCAAATACTTTTTGAGAAAAAAATTGAATTTGAAAAATTAAGTTATGAAAAAAATAACAAAGGGCAAATACTCAAAAATTATAAAAGGGTAGAGTTATCATTCTTGTGCCCTGCACACCTCCTGAATTAGATCTATGCACCTATGAAGTTTCATAATGATATCTCAAAGGCCTTTTTGAGTTATGCTCTGGACAAAAATTAATTTTGAAAAAATAAAAAAAGGGCAATAACTAAAACATTTTATGCAGGGTAGAGTTATCGTTCTTGTGCACTGCACTCCTCCTTAATGAGATCCATCCACCTATGAAGTTTCAAGTTGATACCTCAAATACTTTTTGAGATAAACTCTGGACAAAATAGTATGAAAAAGAACAAAGGGTAATAACTCAAAAATTGTACAGGGAAGAGTTATCATTCTTGTGCACAGCATTCCTCCTCAATAAAATCTATCCACCTATGACATTTCATGTAGACATCTCAAACACTTTTGAGTTATGCTCCACTCGGGTGAAAAATTAGGTATGAAAAATAACAAAGGGCAATAACTCAAAAATTATGAAAGGTAGAGTTATCATTCTTGTGCACTGCACACCTCCTGAGTGAGATCTATGCACCTATAAAGTTTCATTTTGATATCTCAAAAGCTTTTAGAGTTATGCTCTGGACAAAAATTAATTTTGAAAAATAACAAAGGGCAATAACTCAAAAATTATGCAGGGTAGAGTTATCATTCTTGTGTGCTGCACTCCTCCTCAATGAGATCCATCCACCTATGAAGTTTCAAGTTGATACCTCAAATACTTTTTGAGATAAGCTCTGGACAAAATAGCATGAAAAAGAACAAAGTGCAATAACTCAAAAATTGTATAGGGAAGAGTTATCATTCTTGCGCACAACATTCCTCCTCAATAAGATCTATCCACCTATGACATTTCATGGCGATATCTCAAACACTTTTTGAGTTATGTTTCACTCAGGTGAAAAATTAAGTAAAAAACATATTAAAGGGCAATTACTCAAAAATTATGAAAGGTAGAGTTATCATTCTTGTGCACTGCACACCTCCTGAGTAAGATCTATGCACCTATGAAGTTTCATGTTGATATCTCATAGGCTTTTGGAGTTATGCTCTGGACAAAAATCAATTTTGAAAAATAACAAAGGGCAATAACTCAAAAATTATGCAGGGTAGAGTTATCGTTCTTGTGCACTGCACTCCTCCTCAATGAGGTCTATCCACCTATGAAGTTTCAAGTTGATAACTCAAATACTTTGAGAGATATGCTCCGGACAAAAATGTCGGACGGAAGGATGGAAGGTCGGACGGACGGACGGAGACTATTTCTATATCCACCGCCAAACTTTTTCGGCGGGGGATAATATGTAAAATTTGTGTTTTCCACTAATCCTTTATTTACCCAGTTACAAATCGCAATAATTTTCTAAAAATAATTGATTTACAGACTCAGTTTTTTTGTCAGCCTGCAAAAATGGATATTTAGTTAGACAACTGTTTCAATATTATTAAGTCATAATGTATACTGCACTTCAAAAGCTATAATTTTAATATGTACATATTTTACCATACAATTCTTAATTGGAAGGTTATACGTCAGTAAACTAACAGTCACTTAATCAAAGAAAAACATTCTCTCTAACTTTTCAGAAAGCTGTCACTAGAATGGGGTCATATAGACCCTAAGATCCTAAAAATTTCACAAGAACATGCTTTTTCTGTTATGCACATTGAGATGTACATCCATACCCCAATTGTGACAGTTTTACTACTACAAAAGATATCAAGATTGAAAAATGTCATTATAATTGGTTAAAATTGTTTATTACCATTTATCTGAAGTTGAGTTTGTCAAAATTTCTTCAAAATACATAACTGGTTATATTTTAACATTGTATGACAATTTTTATGTGGTACAGTTTATATTTTGTTAACTGATTGAAAAGTGGTTGTGAAATTTTGAAGAACAGGAAAATGGGTCAGTAATGATTTGTCCTTGATTCAGTACAGTATAGAAAAATCTGTTAGCTGATCGGAAAGTGGCAGTACGGGGATACTGTATCTTTACAATAAATTATAAATTGATTAAAATGAATTATTTTGTTCTCGTTAAAAATACACAAGAATACAAATAAAGGCCATGACTTCAAATGAATATATCCATCACTGCACCAGTAAAGTTCCAAAAGTTGATATTATCTGATTATCTTTTCTAAAAACTGAAAAATGTTTTTAAATTTTCGATAATATTTCAGGTGTCGTTTTTTGTTGCTGTTTTTTCGACTATAATTTAAAGAGAGAATTCATTTAGACAGACAATGTTATTGTCTAATTAGATAAAGTTGATTATTATTAACAGATAACCTTTATAAGTGACCGAAGAAAAGTTTTCGATTCGTTCAAATCAGTCGGTGACACTTCTTCATAACCGCCAAGCATCCCATCAACTGTGGATGGCATTTCTTCCCAAAATTGCTTAGCATCGCCATAAAACTTTTCATTTTCTGGCAACGATTCCTCATTCAGATTCGACATGATCTACGCTTCGCGGGTGAATTTTAATTTTGACTTGTCACAAAATTAACATCCGACGACCGCTCTGATTGGGAGATGACTAAACTAATTTCTGTCTGAAACCGTAAGTTAAACCGGTACAACTTCGGACACTTCGGATTAAAGACACTTCGGACCAGATTTTAAGGTTTCAGATTGGACTGAATCGGGCCAGACGTTTTAATATTTTTGACAACTTCATTTGATTTTGCGGTGGGTTTTTTTTGGAAAATATTAAAATATTTAAATTGAATTACTGTTGTGATGTATTTGTTTAAATATCTGGAAAAAGTGATAAATCGGAAGCATTAAAAACAGCAAAATTACATGATAATTGCAGATTCGGTTAGATTGAGTCTGTACATGATAGATAATGAAAAAGTGCAACATCCCTCACGCAAATTTTGTTATTCAAATATGTCTGAATTTTCTATATTTTTATTGATTAACAATATTATGTTCTTACTGTCTTTTTAGTAATAATAATAAAATAATAATGCATCGATCACTGCTGTGTAGTAATATCTTTTGTATTTTGTCTTAAAACGAGGTTATCTTTACTTTGTCTTCTTTCCCATATATAATTCAGAGAATAAAGGAAAATTTCAATTCAACAATAGACTACTATAAAAATTCACAAAAAAACATTTTAGCTATTAATAATTATATTAGCATCTCAATATTGTATCAATATTGTAATGTTAAAGTGATATTAATATTATGTCCATCCAAAGACAAAAAGTAAATGAACAGGTGAAAGTCGAAATAACCTTACATTTTTGCCATGATTCTTTACAGTTTTTTAATATATTCCGTAACTCGTATGGCTCAAGGATTTTTTTAAATATCTGTCGAGGGAAAAAATTCTATTTAGTAAAAGAATGGGGCAGTTTTTATGTTTTAGGCAGATATATATTTTATCCAAAACCTTGTTTTATATCAACTGTTGTCAAGCACCATTTTTATTGTCAATCTTGAAATTTATAGTCAATAAAACTCAACTTGGAATTGTAAAAAATGAGCTTAATGTCACTTAAATGTTTTAAATATAATATGATGATATATGCCATGAAATTATAATGTAAGGTGCAGGGATGGCTCTCCGACCCAACTGCACCAATTACGGGGAAAATAAATAGGTAACCTATGTTGCTGAAAATTTAAAAAAAAAAGATTTATATAAACAAAGAAAACTAGATGTATAGTCTGATTTTATTGACCTGTCAATTATGAATACATTGTGGCACTCATTTAAATACTCGATCCCAATTCGCTTCGGTCCATGTAGTTTACGAGAATTGATGTGGAGTATATTAATCACGTTTTGAAAATCACACCAGTTTAATGTTAGATTTCGTTACAATGAGAGGTCTGTGGTTCGACCCCTTTTGTTGCCATCTTTTTAGGCCTACTCAGTCCTACGCATAAACCCTTCCAGCCTGCTGAATCTCAGTAAGGGCTTATCAGCTAGTAAATTACTATTAAGTGTATATCTCCCATTAACACGTCCACTGAGTTGAGAGTCTTGTCATCATTAATTGGCTCTCTGTGTTCTTATCTAATGGCCCTAACGTTGGAGGATCAAATTTCTGAAGATACACTCACTTTTATCGATGTTTTTTTCTCTGGGTCTGCGGCCCAAGTGAATTGGGAACTTAAGCAATTATTGAATTTTTTTGTAAATATACTTAATATCACTAATAAATTTTAGCTACTAAATGAATTATATGTTGGGATATACCTTCATAAGTGATCTTCATCTTCTTAATTAATAAACTTTCAATAGTTAAGTGTCCACTGGTACTCATTGTTACTCATCCCATCCCCCTCCCCCCCCCCCCAAAAAAAAAACATTGTAATTTTTTACTGTAAAGTGCAAGACTCTTAACTAAGTGACCAGGTAAGTGATATTTTTATTATTAGCTCGACTACATAAAGTAATGTAGACCTCGGTACATACTTTAAATTAATGCCTATAGATGTGCAGTAAATATTTTATCCCTAACTTTTTTATTAGCTCATCTGAGGACAATGTCCGTGCGTCAAAAATTTATTTAAACAACTTCTACTCCTAAACCACTTAGCCAAATTTGTGTTAAAACTTTGCAGGAGTGTACCTTGCATAAAAGCTTCTACCAAAGGTGTTCAAAGAATAAAATCCCATACAGAACTTTGATTGCCATAGCAACCAAAAAGAAATATAAACCTTTCTTTTAAAAAATTGAAGAGCTAGAGCTTTAGAGTATTTTGGCATGAAACAATCTTATACTTGAGTGTCTATCAAGTTTGTTCCGATCAAAGCCCTGGGATAAAAATTGGCCCGCCCCAAAGGGTCATTAATTTTCATTATACATCTGTATGTACACATGTATATCTTATCATCATACACATCATGTGATAAGGTGTTAAACTAAAAATAAAAACATATAATTTTCCATAAAATAATGTTATTTTTTACTCTATGCTTCATTTCATCATAAGGGATTGACCTAAAACTTCAAATATGTGTACCTTACCAACAACTACATCATATGTGACAATGTTGTTCACTTAAGCACCAATATTTTTCCAGATTATTTCCCTATGAACTCATTTTTTTCCTCAAAATATGTTACTTTTTACTAACTTCTTTATTTCTTAAGGTATCTACTTCTAACTTAAAAATATATGTTCCTTATACATGTGTGACAATATTCATAACGCTAGCATGAATATTTCCAGAATTATTTCCCTTTGAACTTAGATGTTTATTATGCCCCGCCGAAGGGTGGCATATTTAAAATCAAAAAACCGTCCGTCTGTTAGTCCGTCCGGCTTTATTATACATATAGACAGTGGTGGTCTTGTCCGTTCTGAAAACTTCAGTATACATGAAAGGATTTTGATTTTATTCATATAGTAATAACCAAAGATGTATGGTGTGTCGCAAACAAGACTCGGGTTCCTACGACTATGGTCAAGGTCATTGTTGGGGTTCAAACTTTGTCATTTTTTATGTTAAATAAATATAAAAGGTGGTGGTTCTGTCCGCTCTAAAACTTCTGTATTTCTCTATATTATATGCATGAAAGGATTTTATTTTTTTCTTTCATATATGAAATAACCATAGATGTATGGTGTGTCGCGAACAAGGCTCGGTTTCTTACGACTAAGGTCAAGGTCACTGTGGGGGTTCAAACTTTCAATTTTGATGTTAATATACAAATAGGCAGAGCTGGCCGTGTATGCTCTGAAACTAATATGCATGAAAGGATAATTTGTTTTATTTCACATATGAAATTATCATAAATGTATGATGTGTTGCCCTTAAGACATATAAATGGTGGTTGTTGTGTCCGCTCTGTAACTTCCATATACATGAAAGTTTCATTTTTTTTTTAAATATAAAGTCACCATAGATGGACAATGTGTTGTGAACAAGACCAAGGTTTCTTTCTGTAACTTAAAGGTCACTCAGCTGGGGGTTTCGAACTTTGTCAATTTTTTACCACCACACTTAACATGTTATAGGTGGTTCATAACTAGAATCCTTAAGGGGCATTGACACGTTCTGTGACAGCTCTTCTTTATATATTATTTTTATATTTTATATTTTTGCTCTTACTTCTTTATTTATGAAAGAATTTACTTCATAACTTTAAACATAAAACACGACAAGCTACATAACTCCCTCCAGCGTCAATATTTTCAGAATCATCATCCTTTTTTACTCAGAATTTCCGAAATTAAAATTTGGACTTAAAAATATGTTTCTGAAACACTTTATATCAGGTGCGAAATAGATTTATTAACTCCTGTATTTTTTGTATTATCTCCATTAAATTTTGAAACATGGGATTTAGTGAAAAATTCATATATTTCTGAGTATTATCATTGTCCCTGAGTCCTGGCTCCTCTTGCAGCTATTGTGGGACTTTTGGTGTCCAGTTATGGTTTCCTAACAAATAACTTAAAGGTCATCAAATTTTTACTATTATCTGCTCTTTTGCATTTTGTAAAGTTAAAGTGATTTAGTATTTTGTATGGAAGTCAAAATACTACTTTGGTGTACATTTTGCTACCTTTTTTTACAATTTTTTTTTCACTTCAGAGCTACTTTTCAACCAAATTGAATGATAAGCATCAATAATGCTTTAAACCCATTATTTTTATTATTATTACTAAACATTATTTTGCTCCTTTAAGAAAAAAATAAAAATAATATATAAATGTCTGAGGCATGATATGGCATTTACCATGCAAGTAATTATACATTAGTATTTTTATTGTGAGCACAGGAACTCGGCACAGTGTTGGGATAGTGTAAAAGAAAGTTTTAGAAATAAAAAACCTATTCAATATTTTTGTTTCTAAAATTAATTTTTACACTATCCCAACACTGTACTGAGTCCCTGTGATTGTGAGTTGTAAGTGATTAAAATTCTTTTTAATGTAATCCAGTCTTTTTAGTCTTTAACTTATTTCAAATTGAATGTATCTATGAAAATCTTAGTTTTCCTTATATCTAAAATGTTCTCTTTATCCTCCAGCTAAAACTATACATTCTTGAAACATGATAGGATCATAAAACATTCTAGGGTGCTGCTATCAGTGATACTGTGACAAGCCATGTCAATGCTCATCACTGGCCAGAGATATGAAATTTTGGGGGAAAACTGGAAATCTTGGGTTTATGCGTAGGACTGTACTCTTTCTTTATTTTGCAGTATATTTTAATGGAATCAATTTGTAGTGTGTTTTACTGCACTGAAATGACAATTTTTTTTATTGATTGTAATCCGATTGAATTTTAAAATATTTGTTCTTAAACTATATGTTATTTAAAAAGATTATAGACCTAACAAAATTAGATAAAACATAATAAAACAAAACGAACAACATCAAAAATAAGCATAGCTTCAATAATGTTGAAAATATTAATAAGAAGACTAGAAAAGTGTCCATAGGACAAGGGTGCCGCCACACTCCTCTATTTTTGTCAATCTTATGACTTTACCGTAGGTCAAATATTTTTTAGTCTACATGTGCCACAAGTTGAAGTCTAAAAATCGTTTACTAAGTCAAGGGCAAAAACTTCACAAATACTGAATAAATCCACAAGCAAACCCCAAGGTGCATAAGTACATGACTGACCAACATTCTTGTAAACTTTCAGACCTACAGGTCAAATATTTTTTTAGTTGTGCATGAAAAGTTGAAAATTGCAAATTTATACTAAGTCAAGGGCGATAGCTCTAACAAAACTGAAAAAAGTCCACATGCAAAACCCTAGGTGAATAGCTTCACAGTGACGTTAATCATTATTCCTGTAAAGTTGGTTGATTCTAGCTCAAGCACTCGAGGAACAAATAACACAACATAATGGAGCAGTTTTCACTAACAAAACAGAATAAATCCACAAATGAAACCACAAGTGCACAACTTCACATGCTGAGCAACATTCCTGTAAAATTTCATGACACTATATCAAATACTTTTTGAGTTACGTGCGGCACAAGTTGAAAATCGTAAATTTTTACGAAGTCAAGGGCAATAATTCTAAAAAATACTAAACATATCCACATGAAAATACCCAGGTGCACAGCAACACATGCTGATCAACATTCCTGTAAAGTTTCATGACTCTATGTCAATACTTTTTGAGCTACATGTGACACAAGTTAAAAATTGCAAATATTTACTAAGTCAAGGGCAATAACTCTAACAAAACAGAATAAATCCACAAGCGAAACCCCAGATGCACAACTACAATACTGAGCAACATTCTTGTAAGGTTTTATGACTCTACATGTATGTCAAATACTTTTTTTTAGATTTTTGCGACACAAGTTGAAAATTGCAATTTTTTACTAAGCCGGACCTTAATGCCCCCCCCCCCCCCCCCCCCCCCCCCCCCCCCTTATAGACCTACGCGGGTCTCAAACTTAAAAAATACGTATGACACTTAGATTTTCTAATTCTCTGTTCAAAACCTCGGATATTTACCTTGAACACAATAGTAAGATTATTGTACACAAATTTAAGATACATAAAATTGTCTTTCAGGAAAACTTTTTACTGGTCCGTACTCGACAGCGAAAGCGGCTTTTTGCATTAACAGACAGATAAACCAAAATCTCGTCCGAAATGTCCGTGGTCCAAAATGTCCCATAACAAAGTGCAGGAACGACAACTCTGTGTGAGTATCCCATCATTCGGATTATCATGGTCTTTATTACTGCCTTCAATGTAACGCATGTTTGTCGATGTAAATTGGGGTCGTAAATTGACTTTGATACTTAAGTTTTATTAAACAGTTAAATTGATATACATTATCATGTCAGGAGACCTGATTCTGAAACAGAATGGCCTAAGGATGAAACGAAAATTTTATGGCGATGCAAAAGAGTATTGGTCAGAAATTCCATCAACTGTGGATGGCATGTTGGGAGGCTTTGAAAAGATTTCACCCACAGATATTAACGGATCCAAGGCTTTTCTCAGGCCGTTCTTAAAGGTGGAACTATAATTCCTTTTAAAACATAATTTAACATCGTTTTAACCACTCTAGACTATCTGTTTATAACCGATTTACAGTTTACCTGTTCACCCCTCAGACATTTCACCCCAAGCCATTTTTTTGCCTAAGACAAATCACCCCTCTATTTATGACCTTGATTGAGACATTTCACCTCCCATTTTCAGCTGTACTGTTTTGAGAAGTAAAAAATAGAGGTATTGTCACAGTCATGCCGGCGTTACCGTTCCCAAAACTTTAACTTTTTTCATTACTTTTTAAGTTCTTGCATGGGGAATTGTCTTCATACTTGGCCACTACAACCCTTAGGACAAGACCTTCAAGTTGACGAGACTAAAACCATTTTAAAAGTGAAGAGAGTGCTAGTCTCAATATTTCGACTGCAAAATCAACTAATTTTACAAACTGATATTTCCAGCGACACGCAAAATTTTAGCATCATTATGCGAAGAGAAGAAATAAAACGTTATTAAAGGCTTAATTAATCGGAATTGTGAAATTTCATCAGAATTGTGAACTGGTCCGTCAGACCCAGTCTGAAAATTGTGAAGGTCTGTTCTTGATTGTGAATGGGTCCGTTATTCGGTACCACTTATATAGGGGAAAAAATCGCTGATTTCATAGAGGGTGACCATCATGTACATTGTGCATTTACCATGTATGTAATACAAGAGCGATCATTGATCACATGTGTCGCCTCATAATAGCCATATATTGGCCAAAAATTATTTAACCTAAAAACCATTTTAATATGCACAAGAACTTGAGCTACCGATCAATTTGTAAAGGTTCATTGAAATTGCTTAAGTGGTATGAGAGGAGTAGTCCGGACAAATTTTAAAAATTAAAATCATTAAAGGGCCATAACTCTGACAAAAATCAATGTACAGAACAATGTCGACGAGATGCACAACTAGGCATGGTATTGATCATTCCTATACAGTTTTGATGAAATTGCACCAGTAGTTTCTGAGGAGTAGTCCAGACAAGCTTCTTTATAGCTGGCAACACTAAAAACACCTTTTTTATTCAAGGGCCATAACTCAGCCAAAAATCATTCAAGTGGAAAACTTGTGTATCGTGCACAAGAACTTGAGCTACCAAGCAATCATGTAAAGTTTTATTGAAATTGTATTAGTGGTATATTACTATAAGAGAAGTAGTCTGGACAAACTTTTACACCCTTTTCATTCAAGGGCTATAACTTTGAAAAAAATCTTTCAAGTGGAATACCCATGTAAAAAGGGCAAGTATTTGACCTACCAATCAATCCTGTAAAGTTTTATCAAAGTTGCATTAGTGGTATAAGAGAAGTCCAGACAAACTTTAAAAATAAATTAATTAAAGGACCATAACCACAACAAAAATTATTGAACCATAAAAAGCCGATGATATGCACAACTAGACTAAGTACCGATCATTCCTGTAAAGTTTGGATGAAATTGCACCAGCAGTTTCTGAGAAGAAGTCCGGAAAAGCTTCTGGGTAGCTGGCAACACTCAGCCAAGAATCATTCAACTTGAAAAGTTGTGCAACATGCACAAGTACTTGAGTTACAGATCAATCCTGTAAAGTTTCATTGAAATTGCAGTGGTATAAGAGAAGTAGTACAGATAAACTTTCAAAATAAAAATTATAAAAAGGCCATAACTCTGACAATAATCATTGAAAATAGTACAGATAAACTTTCAAAATAAAAACTATAAAAAGGCCATAACTCTGACAATAATCATTGAACTGTAAAATGCTTATTATATTCACAACTAAACTTGGTACTTATCATTCCTGTAAAGTTTGGATGAAATTGCACCAGTAGTTTTTGAGGAGTAGTGCGGACAAGTTTTGTGACAGTCAGACAGACGGAAAGTTTGGTATTTAAGTGGCTTCTCTTTTGTTCTTTCTTTTGTTCTTTTAGCCATGTGCAAGGGATTTAGCTGATAACAATAAGATTCATGTTTTTTTTTTGTGTTTTTTTTTTCAGATTGGAAAAGGTGATACAAACACACATAGAGCATTGGACTGTGGAGCAGGAATCGGTCGTATTACAAAAAGGCTTCTTTTGCCCATGTTTGAAACAGTTGATATGGTTGAATTAAATAAAAAGTTTTTGGATTCTGCTCCATCTTTCATTGGACAGGATTCTTCAAGAGTGGGCAAATATATTTGCTCGGGACTGCAAGACTTTACTCCTGAGGCTGGGAGGTATGACCTAATTTGGTCTCAGTGGGTATTAGGCCATCTTACAGAAGAACATTTAGTAGGATTCTTTTCTCGATGTAAAACTGGTTTAACACCTGAAGGACTTATTGTTGTTAAAGAAAACGTTTCGGGATCTGGAGAAACAGAGTTTGACGATGTTGATAGTAGTTTTACACGGAGTAAAGAGGACTACACAAGTGCTATGATTAAAGCAGGCTTAACAATTGTAAAAGAAGAAAGACAGAAAGGTTTTCCGAAAGGATTATATTCAGTATTTATGTTCGCTCTTAAATAATGTTTACTGTATCTATGATTTTAATATTGATGTGTGTTTTAATACCTACTTGATGATTATAATCAAACTTTCCCTTGATACTAATATATCTGTAATATGTGATAGAAACTCTAATCCTGCTGAATGTTACAAATGGATTTGCCATGTTTCCATTTCTGGAACTCAGGCCATTATCTTTAGGGTTACCAAAGTAAAAATTTGCACCGGAAAACCAACAGTATACAACCTAGCCACTGGCCAGACAGCACTTTATACTGTCACTGATGTTTCTTGTTTACTTTTGGGGCATCTATAGACTGTTCACATTAGATTCATGCATTTTAAGGGTTAAAATCAGTTGAACAAGGTACACGTGTATTGTAATGTATGACCTGAGAATTTAAAGCATTTCTAAAGTATAATGAGTGAAGGTTAGATATATATGAAAATGTTTCTTATACATTTGCGTTTGTCTGATACAAACCATTGTTACTGAATAAAACATGTATTTTTTTGGTACCTAAAAATATGCATAGAAATTAAAGATTTCTCAAACCTTTATTCGTGTATTGTTTTTGTATCAAATTTCATGATATATGTTGTTTAAGGAACTTAGCAGAAATGTTAACAGCAAACAAGGCAGTTGACTTATGACTTTTGAAGATTTAATCCATGATCACAGGAAGGCAAAAGAATTATTCAATTAAACATTTAAGTATTGACAGATATTTTGTATTGGAATATATAAATATCATTCTTACACAGTAACCTATGATCCAAGTACGCCTCCTTTTGAAGATGGCCCAGTGTCAGTGCCAGTTTCACCCCAGCCCAGAACAGAAGAGGCAACTATGATGCATGTAGTAAAAAGAGGGCATCCTCCTTGGTTCAATGAAGAACGTGAAATTTAGTACTTTTTAATTCTATGGATAGTGATATTCTTTAGTTGGTCTACTTTAAAGTGGCAATTTAACATATTGATGGAGTAAATCATTTGAATATTATCAATATTATCATTCTTTTTTTATGCACCTTGTCGTTCTATTTAGAAGGGTTATATAGATTTACGCTGAACTGTCTGTCCATAGACGGATAAAACAGTGCAATGTGGGGGAATCTTTGTCCTAGGATATTTAGTTGAATATTAATTTGATTTTTGGTGTAAATGGGGTTTCGCTGTTTAGTCTTCTAAACTGGTACTGCTCAAGAAGAACTTTAACCCTAGTAAAAAGGGTTTTAAGGGGTTTTAAAATTATCATTCACCTTCATACTACTGATCATGTATCACTTTATGATCTTTGTGTGCTTAATATCATGTTGAATAATGTTTGGTCATGGAAGATTAGCGATATGGTCCAGTAACAAGAGACTGCAAGCTGGGCTGTCTAAAGAATTGAGCGACAAGTTTATGTATTTACCTATGTAAATAAAATGATGTAGAACTTATAAGAGAATCATTGTTTTAGTTTTGTGTCTTACTTAAAGGCAGTTTACACAATAGCTCAGCTAAACTACATGTATTAGAATGTTTTGCTTTCAAAAGTTTGATTGCCAACATTTGATATATAGGTCATAGTTTAGATTATTCAGAAAAATTTTATCCCCTTTTAACATGGATCAATGGGTTAAAAACTAGTTTAAATACAATGCAGGCCTTGAAAGCACCATATTTTATAGTCTTCTTAAACTGAATGCATCTGCTTCTATTATTGTTAATACTTAGTTATATTTTAGTTAAGTTTAGCAGCAGATAACTAGCTAAACTCGAGTTAACTCTGGAGTTCATCTTTTGAAGTGTATCAAAAACTTAGTAAAGAAGAGTATGACATTTGTTTTTCTGTAAAAATACAATGTAAATACATTATGTCAACACAAAGGACTTGAATCTAGCCAATATGTTTTGTTTTGCAATATAAAAAATATGATGAAGCAAACATGACAAAATTTGTCCATTTTAATCTTTTCAGGGGACTTAACTCCTTGAGAGGCAACTTTATTAGTTTATTTATATTGATATTTAAGTAACACCAACACATGATTCAAGCCTACTGATTAAGGAGCACTACAGATATCCCTTTGTACATTATTCCAAAGTGGAGTTTGCATCCCGAGTACAACCACCAACCTGTGATTAACTTGATAGCTATGGTGCAGACAAGGCAAAATATGTCTTTTTTTGGCAATTTAATTAAAAAAAAGCAACAACTTTGTAACGCATGGTATGTCGTCAGTTTATAAGAGGCAATAAGATCTATTGATATTGTGTTTCGTTCAATTAAAAATAAAACTGCTATATTTAATCACAGACGCTTGGGGGTCGAACTTGCCCCCCCCCCCCATGTGATACGCCCTTGTAAACTCTCTATTAAAACTATTTTAATATTTAAACACAAATGGGGTATCTGTTACAATGATAAAACTGGTTTTCAAACAATTTTTTACATATATGAAAAAATACGGTATACCAAGTATTTTATTGAGACTTTATGGTATACAGTATTTTTTCATATGTGTAAAAATTGTTTGAAAACAGGTTTATCGTTGAAACAGATGTCTGATTCGTGTTTAAATATTAAAATAGTTTTGATAAGAGTGTTTAAAGGGGCGTATCACTTTGGGGGGGGGGGCCGGGTCTGACCCCCAAGTATCTGTACATTTAATATGCAGACAAGGCAAAATATGCCTATTTTAGAAATTTATTAAAGGGGCAACAACTCTGTTCAACATGGTGAGATAAGGCCAGTTTATTCTACTAAACCGGTTGGGTTCAAATCAAACAAGAAATAAAAATAAAACTTCTTTTACATTTATTATGTTTACAAGACAATTTAAATATGAACATTTTAGTCACTGTAACTGTACAAAGAAACCTTAGTATGTACACTTGTTCAGTAGAAAATGTCCAGTTTGGGGCAAGTGGAATTTAAATGAAAAAATCAAATTCTGCAGGACAATGCAGACTCCTAGCTATAAGTATCTTGTATAACTTATTGACAAATCCGCAGATAAGCCTGTGGCGTATGTAAATTATTTAGTGATGTTCAACCTAAGTAAACGTCAACGATATGCAAGCTTTTTGGTTGCAATTTTGACTCTACCACAAAGAAAAACAATCTTTTTAAAAAAAAAGTTATTTATATATTTATAAGACCTTGTGCAGCTGTAGGTCTTGACATTGATCAAACTGTCGAGGAATAGTTTGTAAGTAACAATGTTTAAACGTTATTATCTTTGAAAATATGTTTTTAAAAAGATTTTCCATGTAATAATTATATTTGAATAAAGAAAAGTGAACACTGGTGAAGTAAAAAAAAATCCAGTACTCACTACTCAGGGAAATTTATAGACTACGAGGCCACGTAGTATCTTGTGTGCATGAGATGAAATAAAACGCACACATGTCACCTCTGTGTCACCGTAATAGACCATAAGCTCATGTGAATAGACTAATATACTGTAATGTGTAAGTCAGGATTTTTTTGATCTTTGTGTTAGTCTGTTTATCTCTGAAAAGTGAAAAATATCATGATTTACATCTCAGTACATTCAAATTGCTTAAGTAGGTATTTATTGTGGTGACAGTGTATGGTATGATATGGCATTAGTCAAAATATATTGATGTGCCATAGCTTGATTCTGTGATATTTTCGTTCTGGGTCAGAATCTCGCTTTAGAGGTGAGATATTGCATGGCTTGCCCAGACACAAAGATAGCACAATATCTTGTCACGCAGTACAATTAGTTGGACAAGATTTATGATTTACTTAATTTTAAATGAAATTATCAATATTTAAATATTCATCCAATATATTTTTTTTGTCTTATTAATTTCAAATGTAGGATAATTGTTCTTATTATTTCCAGCAAATTGTACAAATAAAAAGAGCCTGTATTTATTATTTTGTTGAATTGTGTTAACTGTCGCATTTTAACTTCAAAATACACACATTATTCATAGAATAACTCAATGATTTAAATTAGAAATATCTATATATGGTCATTCAGCCATATTTTGAATGGGAGCTTAAATGGAGAGAACTATGATATTGTGGTATGTTAATTGATGGCCCTTTTTGGCTTCAGTAGAATTTTTTCAACAGAATATGATGTCACTAGAGTTTCCGCAGCAGACCATCACTTGTCCGAACATGAAATTATCAGTATTACTGGTAAATATGGGGTAAAATAAAAAAGTATTTTCAACACACGCGGACAGCTTTGGATTTTCCTATCAATGACAGAAATTTATTTGAAATGAAAATATTTCTAGCAATTTCTATCCAAATTCAAAAAGGATTTCAAAAATCCACGTTCACTTAAATGTTGGAAACAGTCAATTGTAGCGTTCAGTGTGTAAAGAAACACATTTTCTGATGACACCGGAATGGGCAAGGACATGGGGGAGTACTTTAAATAATATTGTTAATGCTGATATTTACTTTAAAATTCTTTTCTGGGAATTTTCAAGTATTTGTATTTACAAATATCATCATATTAGAAATATTCTTTGAAAGTATAATAGTTTTACATAACAATTTTTTATGCCCCCACAATGTGGGAGCATATAGCGTTGCACTTGTCCGTCCGTCCGTCAGTCTGTACGTCCCAAAATCTTGTGAACGCAACTCCTCTTAAACCGGATGGCAGATTTTGCTTAAACTTACAGGGATGAACAACCTTAATGTGTAGATGGTAGTAAAGGAAGGAATTTTCGCTGCGACCAAATTTAACAGAATTATGGCCCTTTGTTGATTTTTTCACTATATACTATGTAGAAATTTTGTGAACGCAACTCCTCTTAAACCGGATGGCAGATTTTGCTTAAACTTCAAGGGATGAACAACCTTAATGTGTAGATGGTAGTAAAGGAAGGAATTTTAGCTGCGACCAAATTTAACAGAATTATGGCCCTTTGTTGATTTTTTCACTATATACTATGTAGAATTTTTGTGAACGCAACTCCTCTTAAACCGGATGGCAGATTTTGCTTAAACTTACAGGGATGAACAACCTTAATGTGAAGATGGTAGTAAAGGAAGGAATTTTAGCTGCAACCAAATTTAACAGAATTATGGCCCTTTGTTGATTTTTTCACTATATACTATGTAGAAATTTTGTGAATGCAACTCCTCTTAAACCGAATGGCAGATTTTGCTTAAACTTACAGGGATGAACAACCTTAATGTGAAGATGGTAGTAAAGGAAGGAATTTTTGCTGTGACCAAATTTAAGAGAATTATGGCCCTTTGTTGATTTTTTCACTATAAACTATGTAGAAATTTTGTGAACGCAACTCCTCTTAAACCGGATGGCAGATTTTACTTAAACTTCCAGGGATGAACAACCTTAATGTGAAGATGGTAGTAAAGGAAGGAATTTTTTGCTGCAACCAAATTTAACAGAATTATGGCCCTTTGTTGATTTTTTCACTATATACAATGTAGAAATTTTGTGAACGCAACTCCTCTTAAACCGGATGGCAGATTTTGCTTAAACTTCCAGGGATGAACAACCTTAATGTGTAAATGCTAGTAAAGGAAGGAATTTTTAGCTGCAACCAAATTTAACAGAATTATGGCCCTTTTTTGATTATCACTATATACTATGTTGAAATTTTGTGAACGCAACTCCTCTTCAACCGGATGGCAGATTTTGCTTAAACTTCCAGGGATTAAAAACCTTTATGTGTAGATGGTAGTAAAGGAAAGAATTTTTGCTGCGACCAAATTTAACAGAATTGTGGCCCTTTGTTGATTTTTAGTTTTCAACTTGTGGCACATGTAGTCCAAAAAATATTTGACCTAGAGTGGGGGCATCCGTGTCCTATGGACACATTTCTAGTTTCCTACTAAACTTGTCATATCAGAATCACTTACTTTGGATTAAAATATCAGTGTTATAACAGATTGCCATTGAAACAAAGCTTTTAAATACTCTAGCCTTAAGAGTCTCTAGATGTCAAAACCTACTTACAACTACATATCCTGGAAATCTATTGTTAACTTTTCCATTGTTTGTGAACTAATCAGCTGTTAATCAGACCCTAAAGCTAAAATCATTTAAGCTGTTGTTGTAAACAAAATCTTTCAATTAAATTTCACAGTTTCGAACATAAAAATGATTAAGTAATTTCCTAGAGTAGGTTCTCTTTTTTCAATGCAATCTGTCACCTTAGAACCACTTTTTAGGTTCAGATGACTTCTAACTTCAATAAACTTGTGTTCAAACTATAAAATAGTGTTTATTGGATAATTCCAGACTAAAACCAACTATTTACTGCAAAACTTAAGTACACTGTGTCTCAGTGTTTTCTCCTCAACCAAATTAAAAATAAAATCAAACGGAAAACATAAAATAAATTAAAAAAATTCGCAGTGCAATATTTTCTGATATGCCATTTTGAAATATTTCGGTAGATCTAATGTGTGATGATTGTTGTCTCACAATTCATTCTTAAATTCATGAATTAGACTGTAGATAGTAAATAAAAAATAAGGTAACAATTATTAATTTCTTCTTTATACATTAAAGCTGCATGCCTCTTAATAAGCAAGAAAATAAAAACCTTGAGAAAATTGTGTCAAATAATTCAAGATTCAATTAATAATTTACATGAAACTTTACAGGAATGTTGATCAGCATGTGTAGTTGTGCACCTGGGAATTTTTGTGTGAATCTATACAGTGTTTTTAGAGTTATTGCCCTTGACTTAGTAAAAATTTGCAATTTTCAACTTGTGTCGCATGTAACTCAAAAAGAATTTGACCTAGAGTCATGAAACTTTATAGGAATGTTGATCAGCATGTGTAGTTGTGCACCTGGGTATTTTTGTCTGGATTTATTTAGTATTTTTAGAGTTATTCACTTATTGCTCTTGACTTAGAAATTTTTTGCAATTTTTAACTTGTGTCGCATGTAACTCAAAAAGGATTTGACATAGAGTCATTAAACCTTACGGGAAGGTTGCTCAGCATATGTAGTTGTGCACCTGGGGTTTCACTTGTAGATTATCCAGTATTTGTAGAGTTATTTCCCTTGACATAGTAAAAACCGTTTCATTATGTTGTTATTTGTTCCTTGAATGCTTGCATTTTCTAGTTGGGTGGTTCCAATATTCCTACTTGAGTAATGTTGAATCACCCTTAGGATATGTTGCCTGCTTTTTAACTTTGTCTTTTGACGTCTTATCTGTGATATGCAAGCTTCATAACCTCTGTTCCCATTTCAAAATTCCATTTTATTTTGTTCCGCCCATTGTTTTCTCGTTTAGGGCACACACTTTCTATTTCTTGGGGACTGACTCCGCCACGTGACTTCACCACGTGACTCTACCACGTGACTCTGCCACTTGACTCTACCACGTGACTCTATCGCTTATCCACTTCCTGTTTACCGACTTAGTTAAATGTTCGATATTAATGGTCAATGGTAGGAAATTTTTGTAACATCACAGCCTCATGAGTCATGTTATTTGTAATACAAATGCAACCCGGCCATTTTTGTCTATGACCCATTTTTATTGAAGTATTATCCAAATTTGTACTTCGTCTTGTTAATTATGATGTCATTGTTAAAATTTTCATGATGTAAACACGCTACAGAGAGTGTATTTTTTAAGCTAGCATGAGTTAGAATCAACCAACTTTACAGGAATAATGATCAACATCACTAAATTACAGGAATAATGATCAACATCACTGTGAAGCTATGCACCTGGGACATTGCATGTGGATTTTTTTCAGTTTTGTTAGAGTTATTGCCCTTGACTTACAGTAGTATAAATTTGCAATTTTTAACTTGTTCAAGCATAGCTCAAAAAGTATTTGACTTGTAGGCCTGAAAGTTTACAAGAATGTTGATCAGCATGTGAACTTATGCACCTTGGGGTTTGCTTGCGGATTTATTCAGCATTTGTAAAGTTCTTGCCCTTGACTTAGTAAAAGATTTTTAGTTTTCAACTTGTTCCACATATAGCCCAAGAAATATTTTACCTAAAGTCATAAGATTGACAAAACAGTGGAGTGTGGGGGCACCCATGTCCTATGGACACATTTCTAGTTTACTTTAAATTTTCAAAAAATTTCATGAAAATAAGCATGGATCTTAAGGCTTTAAGGAAACTGGAGTTTTTTTTGCTAAAGTTCTATGTCTTCTTTTTTTCAGATTCTAGATAATTTCAGCTTTCATTTTAATGGGTATAGTTCAGATCCCTCTCAAAGGAATAAGATGTTTACAGTGTAGAGGTGTAAGCCTTCTCCAAAAAACTACATGGAAAACAAATTGTTATCATAATGTAGCGTTAGTGACAGTCAGGCATTCGCATTCTAGTCCGACTCTAAAGTCATCCCATCTCTCAGATCCGGAGAATAAAGGAGAACGACAGAAAGGGGTCAACTTTGATACCCTTGGATCATGGAACAGCAGGATAGAAATGAAGGTTGATATTGAGAAGAGCATTAGAAAAGGAAGACTTATACCTGAAATTCCTCTGGGTAAAATCATTCAGTAATTTTTTTTTTAAAATAAAAAAAGATGGATAAGATACCGTATTTCAGTTGCTTTTTTGTTAATATCAAACTTTTGCTATATTCGCGTGCAATGAATATCGTGAAAAATAGAAATATATGGAAAAATAGATCTGCTAAATTTTCCTTCAATTTAATACAGGGATTTCATGTGTTTCTGGACTTGTATTTTCTGCTTTAGATTTCCACCTCTATTTAGTTGTTTACATTGAGATACAAGTTATAAGGAAAAAAGTATAAAAACAAATTATTAAAGTGTTTTGAATAGTTAGATTAGCAGAGTTTGTTGGTTTGGGGCTCCAGATTTACAATTGAATGATACTATTAAAGTAACTGTTGTATTTTCACAGATGATGTTGGCACGGCAAGCTTACTTGGCAGACGTAAAGTAAATGAGGACAGATTTAGCATTGAGCAGATTTCGGATGACTTGTTGTATTTTGCTATATTTGATGGCCACAGTGGTGCGACAGCAGTGGACTTTGTTCAGCCATACATGCAACATCATATCAGTTTTTGGCTGCAGAAAACGACAAAGTTATCTGAAGTACTTCGCAATAGTTTTATTGACGTGAACAACCTGCTTACAAGACATCTTTCATCATATCATGAGGGTAAGAAACCTTTCGCTATATTTTGATAATGTAATTATTATGTTACTTTCTTCAAGGACATTACCCTCCCAAAGGGTCAGGACATAAAGAAGTTGTAGACATGGTTTTAGCCACTGCATTGGTTGCAAACTTGACAAAATGGCTACATCATCATGAATATTTGTAATGTCCGCTAGTTTTTTTTCCAGGTAATGGGAAGGGGCATAATTATGTACATGACCAGTTTATATCTTCAATAACTTGGGTAAATGCTGAAACCAAAAACCGAGTATGTCGTAAAAATTGCCTTAATGAATGGGTTTATACAAAAGTTTCACAATATAGTACTAAATTTCGTACAAATATGAGAACCAAACTGTATAGAGCCTGGTTAGATGGCATGGACATGACTTGAGCCTGACTTTATCTACTAGGGGCTAAGACAAATTACAAAATGTGTTAAACAAATACTGATTGACATGGAAAGCAATCTTGACTTAAGTGTTTGTACTTGTAATTGATATTTTTTATTTGAAAATGACAGTGAATGTGACTTAGGTTGTCATGGAAACAGTTTCAGATCTTAGGTACTCAAGCAAGTTATCATACATTAATCCATGGATCCATGTAATGATAATGCAAGAAACAAACATATAATTATCTTTTTCTATTCTGATGTGCTTATGTGGAATCTTTTGTCCTACACTAAATGGGAAAGTATATTACCAGAAGTCATTTGGTTTATTGACAGTTCACATATTTGAAGCCATGTATATCCATGTTTCTTTTAACATTACATACCGGTATATCTTATGTAGGGACACTTATGAGCTCTTATTGTTGAGTAAATAATATAATTCACTAAGTTATATAACATATACAAGTTCTAAGTCTTAATTTTGCTATTGACATCAAATTTCATGTCAAAGACTATGTTTAAGCTGAATGTGGATATATCAATATGGTTTTGCTGACATTTTATGTTAAGATATGTTATATGATATGTTATAATTATGATATGATATGTTTTTCTGACAGAATCTGATATTTATTTTTCAGCTACCAATGGGAGTACGGGTACAACAGCCACTGTGTGTTTGTTACGTAACAACATAGAGCTAGTTATAGGACATGTTGGAGATACACGCGCCATCCTGTGTCGGGAAGGCGTACCTCTACGATTGTCATATGACGACTCACCAGACGACCCGGACGAATGTGCTAGAATAAAAGAGGCCGGAGGTACAATATCAGACAATAGTCTTGGTGTAGCACATGTTAATGGGAGACTTACTATGACAAGGAGTATAGGAGATATAGAACTCAAAGCTTTCGGCGTTACAGCAGAACCTCATATTAGATCTATACGGGTAAGGAAAATTCAATAACAAAAAGTAAGGTTTTATGGTAATACAAAAAAGTTTATTACATAAAGGTGAATCCAGTTTGGCTGGTGGAATATTCTAACTACAATGTTAGATTTATAATTCTGCCTTTGGAAAAGAAAAACAAAATGTAACCATGTTTCAAGAAATGTTACATGGTTAGTCTTTTGAAGTGAATTGTTTATTGCAGTTTGAATAAAATTTATTTATATAGATTTATATTAATTCTTTGTCTATTTGCAAAAAGCAAAATGTTCTGTTAAATATTATCAGGAGTTTAACTGGTTACTGCACTAAAATCACAAATTCTATGAGAGGCCTTTATGCAAGTGCTGCTTCTGACAATTGTTAAAATGTTTCTATTTCAGGTAAGCCATGGGCGGGACTCATTTCTTATACTAACAACAGACGGTCTAAGTTTTGTTTTAAATGATCAAGAGCTGATGGACATAGTTTCAAGCTGTCGTACCCCGACAGAGGCGGCTAAATTTGTTACCGATCAAGCTTTACAGTTTGGATCGGAAGATAATGCGACTGCTGTTGTTATACCATTTGGTGCATGGGGAAAATATCAGAACACTACAAGATCTATTCCTTATAGCTTTGGTAGAAATTTGTCATCAAATAGATACAGATAAAACCACCTGGATAAAACTTGGCATTTGGTTGCGACTTATAGAATATGTGTGGTGATGTGATCGTAATACCTGCGTGTAACATCAACATTTAAACATTGAACCTTTGTCTTATAGGAACATTTTGAAGTTGAGGTGTTAATATGAAACAACAATGTCTCAAATTATCATACCGTTTCCTCATAGTGCCGCTGCGATTTAAGTGTAACATAAGTGAAATCAACGCCACCTCGTTCACTCACATGGAACATCGTACTTTTGTCTCATAGTGCCACAGTGAAGTTAGTGTGATATAAGTTATACAACTATAATATATATGTAAAACCTTCGTCTTGTAGTGTCATAATGAGTTTTGTGTAATGTAAGTGTGCTTTAAGTGAATCAATGCCACCTGAACATTATACCATTTTCTGCAGTGCCACATTGAAGTTAGTGTAAAATAAATGAAACAACGACACCTAAAAATTGTACCTTTGTCTCACATTGCCACAATGAAGTTATTGAAAAATAAAAAGAAACCTTGCCACCGAAGCAACTTATGACTCAGTGATGCTATGAAGTTAATGTAATACGGTGTATAAAAAATTATATTGATGAAATATTTGAAATTAAGTAGTGAAACAATGCTATCTATACATTATACTTTTGTCTCAGGTGCGAAAGATTAAAATTGCTTTTAATTATGATAGTGATTTAATTGAATTGTAGCCATATGTATAAATATCATGTTTTTGAAACTTATTTTTAAGTAGATTTCATGAAACATTAGTAGTAACTACTAGTATATTTGATATTTTGTGACATTTTGCTCATTTTTTCTTTGTCAAGATAAGATTGACTTTTATAATGGTGACTGGTGACCAATAATAAGGATACAAACTACATAAACTAGTTTAAAAAGACTGTACACTTTTTTTTAAGTGAACTTTAATGGTAAATTACAAAGTATAGAAATTGTCATGGGTCACATGAGTTGTAGACAAATTTTTACAAAGAAGAATATAAAATTGAAGACAATTATGGCCAAATGAATGTTGTTTTTTTTACTTTTACCTGTACACTCTCCATTTACAGTTTCATGGGCATAATGTCACTTAAAAGATTGAATATAAAAATGAATTGCTTGTTTTGTTGTGTGTCTTATTGTAATCCTTACCTAAAAAGTAAAGAAAACAACCCTCATTAAAGTGGATAGGTCTACAATGGGCACATTTTCCATAAATATTTATGATATAAAAACAATAGATTTTCTTAAAAAAAATTCTTATGAAATGCTGCTTGAAACAATATGTTGATAAAGTTCTAAGTGATTTAAATTGACCATTCATCTGATGAATTATAATATTTTGTTCTAGAACACTTTAATCAGCTATATAAATAAATGTATATGTAATATCAGATCATGTATTTCACACTTGCCAACAACTTCTGTGTATGATCCTTTTGTGGTTTGTCATTATTTCTAGTACGAAATACTATCAACATAGTTATTCATTTTATTACAAACCTTTATGATAGACTAATTCACTTTAAATGTGCTCACATTCAAACAATGGAGATGCATTTGTCATCCTAGATGGTCATAATGATTATCCAACAAGAGTTTGTATATAATCATATATACATTAAATCAGTTGTTATCAATTTGCATGTTGTTTTTTATAACACCTGACTGAGAACATGGTACTGATCTGACATCTGACCTGTTTATATTGACTGCCGTCTGTATAATTTACCAGGCATCATCTGTTTAGTTCAATTGGTAAGACTTTGAATCGGGGGACTCAAGTTTGATTCCTTAATGGTCACATCACATTCATTGTGATTGATTATAATATCCATTTGCACTGTACATACAAAAGTTATCGGTTCTTTTGCTAAGTGAAGGCACCAGAACTGGTTAAAATGTTTGACAGCCTGCCCAGGAATGATCTGGTAGCTGATGCTTGACAGCCTGCCCAGGAATGATCTGGTAGCTGTCCTGTGCTTTTGTAAATTCAGTATGGCTTTCTGCCATAATCCGGAGGTAAACTACCAACCACCATCACCATATAATCTACCAGTCATCATCTGTAATCTACAGTTTTTATCTTGCCAGTGCACTTGGCCTTACTCAAGGTGAGCTGTTGTGATCATTCACATTTGTTTAACATCTCCTGAGAAGCTACTGGGTCAGTATCGTCAACATTTCTCAGGTTTGTTTTGCTGTTGACCCTCTCAAAGTTGTATTATAGTAGAATTGTTGTTACCATATAAAAAATAAATTTTCACAGGAATTCGACTGAGGACCCAGTGCTGAAAATGATAAAAATTGTTTTTTTTCTTACATAGATCAACAGGGACACTTAAAACAGTTATGCAAAAGAAAATTGATAAATATACTAGGAAATAAATGGAACAATCATATTTAAAATGTGCTGTTCTTAGCATGATTTGAGTAATTTTGGGTCATTTTTGTGTCACAATGACATATAGGGATCACTTCTTGTGTCTGTATGTCTGTCTGTCACAAAACTTGTCTAAACTACTCCTCAAAAACTACTGGTGGAACTTCAGTTAAACTTTTCAGGAATGATCAGTCCCAAGTTTAGTTGTGCACATCTTCAGCATTTGCCGGTTCAATGATTTTTGTCAGAGTAATTGCCCTTTAATGATTTTTATTTTAAAAGTTTGTCAGGACTACTTCTCTTATACCACTCCTGTAATTTGAATCAAACTTTACTTGAATGATCGGTAGCTCAAGAACTTGTGCATTATACAGTTTTTCTGTATTTTTGATTTTTGGCTGAGTTATGGCCCTTGGATGAATAAGGTATTTTGGCTTGTTTGAAAGATTTTTGTGTCACCAGTGCTACACTGAGTAGCTGCAATATGTTACAATTGAGTATTTGTGAGATATAGTCACCCCTAATACAACTGCTGCATTGGCTTT